GGGTTGAACCGAGGACGTCCTCGGTTGACACAGGTCCGTGATTAGAAGGTGTGTCGAGTGGACGTTAAACCCCATCATTGGCTGCACTTTCATGAATAAGCAATCTCGGGCAATGAAATTAAGCACGTGGTACATAACTGAAAACGGCGACATTATTAAGTCTATATATTGCATTAAAATATGACTTGTTGATTTAGAGTCAAATCGACTATTGGCATGATGTAAACATATCGACATAGTTTTTGTCGTTTAGAGGTGAATTTAATGTGTCGAGTCGACTTATTAAGTCGATTTTTTGTAAGATAACTCATGAAGTTGACATATTTTAGTTCGATGTGTTGCGATATTATCTCAATAAGTAGTGACCCAAATACGCTTCCATAGCAAAATTGTCTTTTCAGAGATAAAATCTTCATAACAATTACAATATGTTAACATATTACCAACTTAATATTGCGGTATTTATCGCGCTATTGACCCCTATACGCTTCCATGCCTAACAACCACCATAATGAAGATCTACTCCGAAAGAAATGTCAACACTGGTTTGTTTGTCAGTAAACATCAAAACCTTCAAAATTATTCCACGATTTCTACCCGAAAAGCCGACGGATGGGAATTATGTAACAAACCAAATCGCGCTATACGTGGATATAGAGGGGATCTGTCCCTGCTTTCCTATTGGCAATTTATTTTCCTTTTTTGGTTGGGGGGGGGGGGTGTCTCTCAGATTAATAACCGAAATTGCCATATTGCTATAGTTAGCTTTCCGCTTTATGGGTTCTCTTCCGGCGTGGTTTCCTCTTGTCGGTGATGCAGGATGGAGGGCCTGACAAGGACAGCTGTCTAGTCGTTCGGATGGGACGGAAAACCGAGGTCACGTGTACACATTGGCGTGCACATAAAAGATCCCTTGGCAGTTGGAATTCGATATAAGAATAGGCCGTAGCGCCGCTGCCCGGGCAAAATTTCCCTCATAACACACTGTATGGCGTATGCCCGTCTTATTAGCCCAGAGGAGCAGAACAGTAGGACGTTAAACTCCATTTCATTTCATTTATGGGTTGTCATAATACTACACGTTCCCACGATTATAAATCAGACTCGAGGCCTACTCTGACAAGTTGAAAAATTTTAAATATAACTATTATTTTTAAGAATGTTTTGGATATCGCTTCGCCCAGCTGGTCGTCATTGTTTATAAACGATAGATGTGCAATTTTTGTACAACTGAGTTTCATTTATATAAACTATCATAAGGTGCATTGAGCATATTAATAATTAATAATCATTAAAACGTAATAAAAGTTTGCATTTTACCCAGTTTCAAATAGCTAAAAGAAATTTATTTTGTTCGTTCTGCACGACTGTCTTTCATTTCTTTCATCTCTTTCTCGGAAATATTGCACCAAATTGCCCGGGGGTTTTATTTATCTAAAAATCACTACCTTTTTTAAAAAAAAGTCCCCAAATATGTTGTCCTCGATTCGCTTCATGGATAATTATGGATAATTGAAATTTTAATAAAGCCGCGTAATACCGACACTGGTAAGGTATATGGAAGCATGTCATTTATTATATAAAAACGTGAAAAGTATATTTGCATAGACCAAGCTTCAAGAACTCCTAACATATCTTTATCGAAAATGTTGTATGCACATATGAAACTGAAGCAAAGAATGTAACAAACTCTTTTAAGAGCGTTGAATATGATAAAATGCCCATTTTAAAGCTAGCACTGTAAGATATGATATGACATATTTTGTTATTTTGGGTGATAAAACACGTATCAATCACCAAGAAAATAACATTTTTTTACCAACTGTTCAGAAAATGGAAGAAAACTTAATTTAGAGTGATCCTGTATTTGTAGGTGTTTTTTTTTTTCAATTCGGTCTAGATTTGTCAAGACAAATAATTCCTGGTAATCTCACCAATTGATAAGCATCTTGTGGCGAGGAGATTAAGGTTGTTGATTAGGTAATCAAGTTTAGTTTGTGATCATCATGGACGCCGCCGCACGATCATAATATTAATCAGATTGGTGTACAATTGGCTAAAGTATTTATAATATATACGGGGATCACGTGGCTAAGTGAGTAAGACGCTGGCTCGCTAGCCTAGAGGTCGGGTGTTCGATTCCTGCATTGGCCGAGAAAGTTCATCCTTGTCAGTGATACAGGACGGAGGGCCTGACAAGGCGGCTGTCTAGTTGTTCGGATGGGACGAAAAACCGAGGTCCCGTGTACACATTGGCGTGCACTAAAAGATCCTTTGACAGTTGGAATTCGATATAAGAGTAGGCCGTAGTGCCGCTGTCCGGGCAAAATTGCCCTCATAGCACACTGTATGGCATATGCCCAGTTCGGAGCAGAACAGTAGGACGTTAAACCCCATTTCATTTCATTTCATTTATAATATATACTGGCTTTAAGTACAAACGATTTTGATATGACCATTTTATCTGCTTTTAAACCATAGTGTTTTAGATAATAAATCAGACGAATAAAACGCAAATAACGAGAAGACAAACCAAATGTGGAGTGAAATTAATAAAAGCAATATAAATTTTGGGACAGTATGCTAATTTTAGGAAGACTTTTAATTTGTAACAGTCCTCTATATTTGCTCGGGGCAATTACGACGACCATTTCCTAACTCTGTATCATTAACTGACAAGCATAACTGGCTATATAATCCAGATATCCCTTGCAATGTAATGTGAAATGCGATATGAAATCCTTGGCTATTATATTTCTCTACCTATAGAGAGAATAAAAACTGAAATACTAAAGAAGAAACTAGTCCAGTTGGTTTTGCGATTTGAACCCATATAAGAATTTGCTACTTTGGAAACAAACTTTGATGAGTGAAACTTGTTCAACAATATGCCACTGTATTTATGGAAAATACGAAGGCTTATACGTGTATATAAGCAGTATGATAATTCAGATTTGTGACGAAATGTTAATATAAATAAAGCCTACATTTAACAGTTACTTAATACCCACTAAAAGAGGACCATTGTGTAATCGAATTGTTTACTGTCTTCGTTACATAACCAATAAATAGCTCGAACAGGTCAGAACATAGAAAGCCACCAAATGCGATGGCCAATAATTAAAAAAAAAACTACCCACATACTACACCCCCGCCATGTTACATTGGTGTACTTTGTTTGTTTCGCTTGATGTCAATATTTCGATGGGCAGAATTTAAACTATAGTTTAATGTACACAAGTAACGACAAATACATTCTGAAAATGGGCACTCTCTCAATTAAGTTACGTAACAAACATGGCTTTTAAAATTAGATTTTTACATCTTGGGGTCCTTCCTCCCGAATACAATGTTTTGAGAGGGATATGAAACAAATTTTTGATAGATTAATTTGATATTAGATTGAATTTTCAAGATACTAACTTGAATTTTTAAAACACTAACATGAACTTTCAAGATATTAACTTGCATTTTCAAGATATTTACTTGAAACGAAAGGCTCAAGTCTGTAGTGCGCAAAGGGCATGTATGTTGTTGTTGTTTGTTAGTTGTATTTTACGTCCGCTTCCACCGTGGTGTATGGGGACCTATTCTTATTTAAGATGTGTGGATCAAAATGTTAATAACAAAACCTAGTCTTTTATATTGAGTTCTTTTGTACAATTTGGAAAATAGCTGATCACTAACGTTTGACGAACTAATGCCTAGGTCCCACTGGGGGAAAATCATCGGCGATATGGAAATAAAACAAATTTTTCCCCAAACACCGGAGTAGTCCCGTGAGAAATGGAAGTTGTTAAGCTTTCGGGGTTGTCCGGGAGAACTGCGAAAAATTTCAAAGCTTGCATTGGAATTTTTACCGATGTGTTCCCTACTTATCGTCGGGAAAACTGGCCGTGGAGGCATTCCTGGCGCTTTCCAGATGGATCCGCATGGATCGCGATGCCCAGTGGGACCTAGGCATAATATAAAACTAGGCTTAACAGTAACACGCGCTAACAAGTGTCACTACTTGAACTTACGCAACTTATTAATATTTCAATTGTTGATTACTTATTATTTTATCCTTATTATTTCGGCAATAATGTTTTACGTTACGCCAGGTAAAAAATTCGAAAATTCATTCAGAAGTGATATAATGACTAGATGGCTTGATTTTTTAACATCGAACGGCTTTCCTGTACAGGTCATCGGGTGTTTTGTCAAAGGTATGATGATGATAATAGTAAAACTTGCTTTCATTATCGTTGAAATAACAACTTATTTCTCCCATGTGACCATATTATGATGTGTATGGTAGACGTAGATCAACCGAGGACTTGATACGCTAGTTGTCCAATAAACACTAACCGAGGATTTGATACACAAAATCATACTTTTCATTTTTCAGATCACACACTCGAAAGATACACCCTAACTGTAGAATACCGCCTAACGCGGAGCACCTCAGATCGACGCGACATTCAAATGAGATATTAAATCCGGGCTTCTGAACATCGTTATAGTCTTGGATTTAGTTAAAAAAAAAAGTCCTCGGTTCAACCGAGGACGTACTCGGTTGACACAGGTCCACGATTAGAAGGTGTGTATTCAGATGTGTGTCCTCGATATACACCATATACAAACGCACACACACACACACACACACACCCACAACACGTTAAACCCTTATGTCATGTCGATCTTTTTCGATCTCAAATAAAAAGAATATGTCTATATTTTGTTCATCAAGTTTATGTATAAAAATTATATACAAGTCAATTAAGAGTTGTACTGGCATAATATAATATATAAAATAGAGTTTATATTTCATAGGTATATATGGGATTACAATCAGACCAAAACATATCTATATCCTCGATAACACCCAGTTACATCTGGGCCCTTATTCACGAAAACTTAAACTAAGATACAATCGAAATTTTAAGAAATACTGCAATTCGATTGGCTGACTAATATGCAAATTTGATATATGCAAATTGATTTTACTGGTCAGCCAATCGAATTGCAGTATTTCTTAAAATTTCGATTGTATCTTAGTTGAAGTTTTCGTGAATAAGGGCCCTGGGGTTTAAAGCCGATGATAAACATGTAAAAGGTCCTACTTACAATAATGTGAAAGTTAAACATTGGTCATTTCCTTTTAGTATTTAATTCAGCGTGGGTTAAGTCGTGAAAAATAACATAACACATTATCCGACAAAATAAGACACAGTCCGAAAAATTAGACATAGTCTGAAAAATGCAAATGGCCGCCAATGGTAGTAATTCTGGCTTTTCACTAAAAAAATGGTTCAATTCTTTCTAGTATTTAAGTCAGCGTGAATTAAGTCGTGAAAAATAACACATTATCCGAAAAATAAGACACAGTCCGAAAAATAAGACACAGTCGGAAAAACGCAAATAGCGACCAATGGTATTAATTCTGTCCTTGCACTCAAAAATGGCTCAATTCCTTTTAGTATTTAGGTCAGTGTGGATTAAGTCGTAACAAAAACACATTATCCGAAAAATAAGACACAGTCCGAAAAATAAGACATGGTCGGAAAAATGCAAATGGCGACCAATGGTATTAATTCTGTCCTTGCACTCACAAAAAGGTTTGAAGTGTATGTAGGGCGTGTGTAGGTAAAGTCTCTTGACTCCTTCACATTATACAGGTACGTTTCAGGAATAGGTCTGACGTTTAAACGATATACACGTTTCAGATAGAGCCTTTTGCTGCATTGAAGCATCTGCCTTTAAAGTTGTATTTGTCCTACGTAGGCTGCCACCAGGTATATAACACAGAAGCCAACAACTAAACCAGTTAACTGAAGACAAGTTACAAATACAGGTGATGAGTTGTTCTTTACAGCAAGCTCAGCAGCCGTTCCCATTTCAGGTAACTATAAAAGAGAGAAAAAACGAGGTTATAAATTGTTACTATAACTCTCGACTCCATTAAGGGGAAGCAATTCATACATTTGCAGTTGGATGCAGACTACCATTAATGTTTCCATCGACGTCAATGTCAACTCATTTCTCTTTGCGCCGCTCCAACTTTTCCACGAATTGTTTGGGCTGAATGTTTTCATTGCAGTCAGAGCAACAAATTTTCATGTCTATGCTCAAAATTTTGTTTGATGTTGACCACTAAAATTTGTAGATACACAAATATGTAATTATATGGGTCTTTTGTTAGACGTGGAAAGCGAGCCCCAAATCCGGTCGCCACATCCTAAATGTTTACCAAATTATAACTATTTTTATGTTTAATTCCGTCACTCATTATTTGGGTGCATGGTATCTGACTTCTATAGAATGTGTGTATGTGAACCCAATAATTAGTTAAAAATACAACATGGTCGCAAAGACCATAGTACTACATTATCCACAGTACATTTGGCCACAGATCGCTAATGACTTTAATGTTAATTCTCGTCACTTAGACCGGCTCTAACTTTTCCCTAAATTTTCGTTGGGTAGGACGCTTTCTACCACAGATGGAATGTAATAACCTCTTGCCCAAAAGCACGTATGAAATTCACCTTGGAAACTTGAGATACACAAGCTGGAATTCGAGACAAGTAAACATGCAATTTTCGGCCCTATATTTCAACCTAACCAACCTCTCAACTCTTGTATCCTTCCGTTTCCAAATCATGAATATTCACCTAAACCTGACAGAAAATGTATTTTCAAACCCTTTTCTTAGATTCTACATCAAGAAGTCAACGAAAATCGACATGCAAAAGGCGGGAAAAGGAAAGGGAGAGGAAGACTAAAAATAACTTTCGCCCTATATTCGTATTGTGACGGCGTAGAAATATTTAGTGAGCTGTAGAAATATTTGGTAAGCTGTGTCCATTTCACGGTAACCAGCCGCTTAACTCTGTTATCCTTACATCGCTTAGCCATGAATATTTACCAAACAAAATGGCAGAAAATGTTACGTCAACCCCCTTCCTTGATCCTAGACCAACAAATTTAACAAAAATGGCATGTCACGGGGCAATCTGTTTCACAGGGGTATTGCGAAAAGTCTTCTTAAAGCTCTGTAAAAGATGGCTGCTTTCAACATATGACGTCACATCATGGGGCGTCAATCATTGGCTCAATAGCGTAATAGCGTGTGTAATGTTTACACAAGACGTTACTGGTTCGAGCAAAATGGCGCCCTTTACTCGTTTGATATATCCATTTACACTAAATAGGAAATAATTTTTACCTAACCAACATATACTTCAAACATCTTTATTTATTTTTCTAAAGCTTAAAAAAACGTTTTATAATTTAATTTGTCGGAGGAAAAAAGTTAAACATGCATTATGCAAGAGCAAAATCTGCTTATTACAAGTCTTTCTTAAGGCCTGAAATGTTATCTAAATTATCAATTAGACATTAATTAACTTATCCAGACCATAATAAACTCTCGATGTCAAGGTTAGCCTTTCGATGTTGGCTGGATTAGATTCCTATATGCCGCTAACGGCCAAAGATAATTAAATCAGAAAAAGTGGATAATCGAGACTATGCTGTTTATATTAATGATTTTAGTAATGATAACCGAGACTATGCAAAAATTTCACCCGCTTCTTTCTCGGCTCATAGTGGATCAATTTGACTGAAATTTTCAGCAAATTACCTTTACACTATCTAGTTTTTAACTATTACAGCGAGAACTGCCATCTCTTTATCTTATCTCCCATAATGTATCTTTAACATTTGAGACTCATTAAGCCGCATCGATGTCATCCTTATCAGTGATTGTAGCGGCCTAGCGAATATTCACTTCTGATCAGTGTGTCCACGGGGTAGAATACTGACAGAGAATTGCTATAAATAGACAAACTACAAATGGTGGTCTGCATCCTATATTATCAAGCAAGACGGCGGTGTATGGTTGTTGGAACATTGAGTCGTACCCCGTATCATGAGAACACTAGTTATTATAAATCGTCTTACCATGTCGACGAGTGAAACGTAGAGAAAGATACCACCAGCAATAGCAAATATCCAATGATTGGCTGAAGTTGTCTCCCCTAGAACAATACCTACTGCCACACCAAAGAAGCAGAAGACGGCCGCTATACAATTACAGAACAGAGCTCTTTTCATGCTCATTCCAGAATGAAGTAAAATGGCGATATCACCTAAAAAAGCAGAAAGGAGAAAATAGCGTTATATACTCTTCAAAAAGAGTAGGGGATATTGAAATGCAAATACCTATGCAGGTTGTGATATGATAAATAGTCATGGACACTTGACATGCTTTGAGTGTATGTTCACAGATGAAGAACTTATCGCCCCAGCAGAACCACTGAGCTGCACATGCGACATGCAATAGCGCCATACACGTGGGAGGGGTTCATTGTCAAATTTGACACTTCAAGGAAGGGTTGATGAAAACTGCCGCGTACTGGTTTATCTATCCATGTTTGCTTTCCTATCGATTCTTGCATAAGATTTGCTGTTTAGCGTATCTTTGCTTTAGTGTGTTACGTTTAATTTGATCGGGAGACGTGTCCGTCGACGTCAACGTCAACCGACAACACTGCAAGAATTGGCCGTGGCACTGCAAGAGGAGTGGGTCAGATTGCCCTAAATCGTGATTGGACGGTTGATTAGGAGCATGCCACGACGAATTGCTGAATGTCTAAGGATTGGTGGAGCAATTACTCATTATTAAGACAAAAATCAAAAACGTCCATTTTCACTTTTGACGGTGTATCTCTTTGCGAATGAAATGGGACTGTCAGATAAGCTGCCCATATGAACTGTTTATGTTCATGTGTAGGGAATTGACCTGTTATTAACATTCGCATGTCACCTCTAATAAAAACAGCAGTGCATTTCCGCAGTTTTGTATTGTTTCTGAATATCCCCTACTTTTTTTTTGAAGAGTATATTATTGGTGGGTGTACATTGCAATTTCACTCCCTATGCCAGGTGGTCAATATGTACCCCGATAGGAGGCCATGGTGGTGCAGTGAGTAAGACTTTGACTCGCAGCCAAGAATATTCGATGCCTGCGTTGGCCGAAAAATTTCATCAGAATTTTCCGTCGTGTTTCCACCTTGTCAGTTATGCAGGACGGAGAGCCTGACACGCTGACAAGGGACAATGTATAGTCGTTCGGATGGGACGAAAAACTAAGGCCCCGTGTACACATTGACGTGCACGTAAAAAATCCCTTAACAGTTGGAATTCGATATAAAAGTAAGCCGTTGCGCCGCTGTCCGGGCAAACTTTTCCCTCATAGCACACTGCATGGCGAATGTCCATCTTCATTAGCCCAGTTAGACCAGAACAATAGGACGTTGAAAACCATTTCATTTCATTTATATAAAACGTCGGTCGGACCTCGAAAAATATTATATCTAATTACCTGATGAAGTCGGCTGTTCATTCGACTATTGGCCTAATTCTAGCCAATTAAAGGTGTTTCAACACCACGTTAATCTAACTCTAACACCTGCGTGGTCGAGTAGTCTAACGCATGCGCTTTAGATGACACGGCCTGTACATCACAGGAGTTGGGTCGCCACCTTCCGGGGGGTTGGATGGTTAGTGCGTGCGCGATGTATCATAAGTTCTGTCATTTAGTCAACTGGCGTGGTTCGATTCCTCGGTTGTACATTACAAGGAGTAGGGTCGCCTTTTTAACCTCGTGGGTTTTGTCCGGGTCCTCCGGATCCATCCCACTGCTAAACACCCATACGCGCAAACGCATTATTGAAATTAATTTGAACCATATGTTAGTCCCAAAATGACCTGGTTTGTGTCGAGTGGACGTTAAATCCCAATACAAGTAGCACATTTAAATATATAGAGTCACGCAAAAATCTCAGTATCCGTTGACAAGAGAGAGAGAGAGATGGAGAGAGAGAGAGAGGAGAGTGGTCTTTAGCAGTGGGGGGAAACCGAAGGACCCGGAGAAGACCCACGAGGCTGCACAGGCTACCCTACTCCTTGTCACGTAGAACCGAAGAATCGAAACTACACCAGTTGACTCATTGACAGACCGTATGATACAGCGCATCCGTTGACGAACTTACCGATTTCATGTGCAATCTCTTCGCAGATCATAGCAACAGCAACCGTCATTCCTGTTAGTAGATTTTCAGAGAAGGCGGCGCCAACTGATAAACCATCAACGAATTTATGTAATCCGTCTCCCACTACGATTATATACGCTACCGTGGAAACAAGCGATGTTTTGTCGTAATGCGCATGTCCATGGTGAGTGTCTGCAATGTCTGAATCATCAGTAACTTCAAGATCATTGAGTTCTTTAAGTAAATCATCATTTGCATCTGGTGCCTTGATTATAATCTCTTTACTAGTCTTTTTATTATTCTAAAAATAGAAATAAATAGGGTTTAACTGTATTACAATGGGTCTTTCTGTCAGACGTGAAGAGCGGACCACGCCAAACCGGTCGCCATATCCTACGTATGACCATGCATCTTTTCTTACTACATATCTTACTACATACTACATATCACATATGCCTTGTGATCGTCTAGTATTTTCACTTGTCGCTTTTGCTTCCACTTCACGTTGTGTATTTACTTCTTGTTGTTTTCTCAGTTAGTGAAGACTTTTGTCTTACCAGGAATAACAATGCAACAGTTCGTTTTTACATTTTATATATCATGGCTACTTACATATGGTACAATGCATAATAGATTATAAGCCATTCTCTAAAATCCCATCCAGCCAGACTCGCTAGGACGAATCTGCTGATAGAAATTGCTACATCTTTTCCCTTCCAGAATCAAGCTGCTGTCCGACCAATGCTCACAAATATGATAGTTTTGTAGCGACTTTCAATTATATGATTGATCAAATATGATGTAAATAATTATAGAGATTGGTTAATTAAGCCAAATGGTGAATCGTAATTTTCCGATCACGTGTTAAACATGATATTCTTATTCCCACGGAACCAGCTAATGTTTACCAAATTGTAACTCTTTTTTTATATATCAATCTGTCACTCATTCTTGACTGCAATAGATACGACTTGGCCAAGATATTAATTAATATAATGCTACTAACTAAAAGAGCAAAAATTCTACAAGTCTTACATTAAAAAGTGGGCTTTAGATCATAAGGTCTGGCATTGAGTTAAACCCACTTGATGACAGCAATAAAAATAGTTCAGTGTATTCCATCGCTTGTATTCAATTCCATTCTATTAGCAGCAGTTAGCACACCGCACACATTTCGGCCACCGACGTTTCTGCTATGGATAATTTTAATCGTGGCCATAACCCTAACCGATATAGGTACTGTATAGGTACAGTAGTATAATGTGTAACCAGATGGGACGATATAGTTGTGATTTATATACGAACTGGTTATGGTGATTTATATACGAACTGGTTATGGTGATTTATATACGAACTGATTAGGGTGATTTATATACGAACTAGTTATAGTGATTTATATGCGAACTGGGTATGGTGATTTATATACGAACTGATTAGGGTGATTTATATACGAACTAGTTATAGTGATTTATATGCGAACTGGGTATGATGATTTATATACGAACTGGTTATAGTGGTTTCTATACGAACTGGTTATAGAGATTTATATACGAACTGGTTATAGTGATTTATATACGAACTGTTTATAGTGATTTATATGCGAACTGGTTATAGTGATTTATATACGAACTGGTTATAGTGATTTATATGCGAACTGGTTATAGTGATTTATATACGAACTGGTTATAGTGATATATATACGAACTGGTTAGGGTGATTTATATACGAACTAGTTATAGTGATTTATATACTAGTTATAGTCATAGTGATTTATATACGAACTGGTTATAGTGATTTATATACGAACTGGTTATAGTGATTTATATACGAACTGGTTATAGTGATTTATATTTATATACGAACTGGTTATAGTGATTTATATACGAACTGGTTATTGTGATTTATAGTGATTTATATACGAACTGGTTATAATGATTTATATTGATTTATATACGAACTGGTTATTGTGTTTTATATACTGGTTGTGGTGATGTAGATACGAATTGGTTATAATGGTTGTAGAGTATGTATAAGATAACTCACCCTACTATTCTCAACCAAACTTTTGATAGTTCTCTCAGATAAAAAGAAAAATAGAAGAGCTCCACAGACAGTTGACATTTTACTTATATATTCTTCACTCAGTCCATCATATACCATCAGATTTAGTGCCTGCAACAAATTAAATGGGGTTTAACGTCCTACTCTTCTGCTCTGACTGGGTTAATGAAGACGGGCATACGCCAAACAGTGTTATACGGGGGGCAGTGACGCTACGGTCTACTCTTATATCGATATTTTACGTGTACGCCAATGTGTACACGGGACCTCGGGTTTTCGTTCCATCCGATAGGGGGTACAGTGGCGCTACGGCCTACTCTTTTATCGAATCCTAACTGTCAATGGATCTTTTACGTTCACGCTCATCCGTACACAGGGATCTCGTTATTTCCACCCCAACGACTATAGCTAGCCATTCTTGCTATAATAGTTCGGAAATAGATAATGTAAAATGAATAATTTGAAAATTTCATTCAATTTACTCTATTGCGAGCGGAGATATTAGCCTTTGACAAAGGTAGGGTGACCCACCATAAATAAATATCTCCAAATATCTCGACAATTACGCCACAATATTTATATATATGCCAAGCCTCAAATCAGTTTCACACAATTATAGTCACTAAATAAACGATCATGTTGTACTTAATAAGCTATGACCATTAATCATCTATAAATAATAGACTGAAAACTGGTTCCAAGTTGCGTCCATAACATCCAGACACTTTTGAGTAAAAGATAGGTTACGTGCCCTTGTTTTGAAATTAGTCTCGCTTAACCAGTCTATCGACCATTCTACGTCTGATTGACAGGTCGGGATAATCAAGACTACTTTTTTACGAAACATAACAGAAAGCTAGAACAAGAAATTGAATTTAGAAATAAGCACTTTAGACAACTCAACAATTGTTTTAAGAAACTTGTAAAAGTAAAATGAAACTACTGCTAGTATCATGTTCCTGCTAAAGAAAGTGATTCAGAGATAGTATTTGTACTAAACCAAAAGATGCCGCTCTTAACGGTACAGTTAATGATAAAGCAATTTAAAAAATAAAACAAACGTAATTACTAAAGCTGCTGTAATAACCAAGAAGCTAAATTTTACTGCTATTCAAAATCGTCAACAATAGATTTTTTACGGCTGTAATAGTTGATATATTTGTAGAGAATTGCACGTGCCATGGCTATTTATCGACTCAAAGCGAGTGCGGGGTAGTCAGAAATCAGTTCGAGACACGCAACTGAAGCGTGCACATTTAGCCGTGTCGAGACCAACTTTCTGTAAAGTGCACGGGTCACCCTACCTTTGAAGGTTGTGCAATAATTTCAACCACCGTACTGGTTGTTCGAAGCTAAGTCTCGCTCCTCCATTTTTTAGCTTAAAGGACAATATTGGTGCCAGTCATTATCCCATATGTGATAGAATTGATTAAACACGTTTCAAATATTATTTTATCACAGAGATCATTGCTACGATAGATGAGTAATCAATGTTTCAACAATGGGAAGTGACGAATGCAAAAGGAAAACACATGGGCGAATTTCTGCTCACTAATAATTCCTTCAAAACCAAAAGTTGTTGTTGAGACTGTGAAAGGATATCTGACAATTCATAAACAAAATTGACTGTCACTAGATAAGAGAACATGAAAGAAATATAGAAAAAGTCCGTGCATTACCATGTTTTTACAGAATGAAAAAACACCCGTGAATGTACGGACTGTTTCTGTTTTTCTCGTGTTCTCTTATCTAATGGCATTCAGTTACTTTTTTGAATTGTCAGATATACTCTTACAGTCTCATATAACAACATTTGGTCTTCGAAGGAATTTTAAGTGAGCAGAAATTCGCCCATGTATCTGTTATCACCCGTCACTTCAGTCAGTTATATTGAGGGATAACTCGTGTTTTCCTTTTGCATTCGTCACTTCCCATTGTTGAAACATTGATTACTCATCTATCGTAGCAATGATCTCTGTGTTAAAGTTATATTTGGGATGTATTTAACCAGTTCTATCACATATTTTATAATGACTGACACCAATATTGTCCTTTAATATCGGAGAAATACGATGCCATCGAGGGTTGATTATGGCCTGGATAAGTTAATTAATATCTAATTAATAATTTAGAAAACATTTCAGGCCTAAAGAAAGACCTGCAATAGGCAGATTTAGCTCTCACTGTATGTTTAAGGCCCGTTTAGTAATGGTATTAGAGAGCGTTACCTTAGCAGAAGATAAACATGGACGTATGGAAAACTTACCTCGGGAATAAGAACCAACAGGGCTGTAGCTACCAAGGTTCCAACTGCCATGGAAACCAGGAACATCAACAAATGTTTAAAACACTTGGTGTCCATGATGGGTGCCAGTAAAGCACCAAGATTAGATATCAGGGAAATTAATACAGCGAATCCAATACCATAACCCCACACTACCAAAACATGAAGATAAACAATATAAGTAACTCAGGACAAAAGGATTCCATTTACAGCAAAGTTGGTTTTTTTTTTACCTAATCCCACTAATCACTGCTTTAACGAAGGCAAATTTCTGTTCCAAATTATGACTGGTCAATGGTCCGATTAACAACCAATAGCTAACTGTGTTACAAAAGCATTACGCTTAAAACAGAGCTCCAAATTGGACCAAATATGTTTACATAACGTTACGTCATGACTCGCGATTTTATTATGCCCAATTAACCAGTGCATAGCAGAATATTGTAGAAAAACTAACTGCGTGACAAACGAGGCTATCAAATCGAAAACACTGTAAACAATACTGTTTGGAGACGAACATACTTTCACCGTTTTTAATACCTTAAATCACTGTCCAAAGGGCTGTCATGTTGCTGTACTTGGGATAGATTGAACGGGAAGAATACACACACTCCTTCAAAAGCTCAAGTATCAGAAGCCAATCCAGCAATGGACAGGCCTTATGATACAACGCGCACGTGGTAACCATTCAGCCATCCTTCTTTCTAGGCAACATAAACACTAGAGAACTTGCACGCTAGTTATGATGGGTGAAATGAAATGAAATGGGGTTTAACGTCCTACTGTTCTGCTGCGACTGCGTTAATGAAAATGGTCATACGCCATACAGTGTGCTATGAGGTCTATTTTGCTCTGACAACGGCTCTATGGCATACTCTTATATCGATTTCCAACTATCAATTATGCTTTGTCCCTCGCTGGCTCCCCATCCTGCACCACTGACAGGGGGTGGGGGTGCATGCCGGAAAATCCCGATGAACTTCCTCCGACAACATCGGTATCGAGCACGGGACATCTAGGTTAGCCACCCAACATCTTACTCAAAGGGCCACCACGTCTCCCTAGGCCTGTAAAAGATCTTAAAATACAAATGTGACGTCATCCTTTGATGTTGGCGTAGCAATATTTCCAATAATGTACGGGCAACAACATTATCTATACTAGATGAAATATTGGACTCGCGTGACGTATTTCATTGAAAAGCACGTGCGGGATATTGTCTTTTATTTTAAGTTGTTTAATGGTCTCGAGCTAAAGACATTGCGTAATATAGTGACACAACACTCGGCTGACGCCTCGTGCAGTATCAATATATTACTTAATGTCTCACTTTCGACCATTAAACCATACATATTTACCTTCCCCTGTTGATGGTCGACCTTTCGTATTTACAGTTACCACCCCTGACTGGGATTCTAAAAGTCTGCAATGTCTGATATTGACAACAACAAGCGGCAGTACGGCTGTAAGAGTCATGGCATCAAAGGTTGAGTTGATTTGGAAGTGATCAAAAATACTTCCCGAATTCAGACACTGAAATGTAGGAAGAAAAAAATGTTTCTTTATACCGAATTCCCAATCTGATTATAATACAGATTTATATTTCGTTTCGTTTTTTATACTTTCGATGGCCTACACTACATGAAGATCTGCAATAGGTCGCGTCAGAGGTCATACGAGGGCTTTTGACCTATGATGTCAGACATTTGATTAACCAATCAGCATTGATGTTACTAGTGGATTACCCACAGTTCCGTGGAAAACACGCCTAAAGCTCGCCGTAACAGACCGTTTCATTTGCTAATAACTCACATCATTCAGAACACGTCAATAATAAAAAAAAAACGAAACGAAATAGGATCTGTGTTTTAATCAGATAGACCAAATTCGAGTATCAAAATGCAATGCATGTATTGTTTTTTTAAAGCAGAAGGCTGATCTATTAGGACATTTTTGTTCATTGTCGTTATGGGGGGTTGGATGGCTGAATAATTAGCACGTGCGTGCTGTATCATAAAGTCTGTCATTGAGTCAACTGGCGTGGTTTCGAATCCCTTGGTTGTACGTGACAAGGAGTAGGGTCGCCTGTCCAACTTCGTGGGTTTTCTCCGGGTCCTCCGGTTTCCTCCCACTACTAAAGACCCCTACGCGCAGGCGAATTATTGAAATAAAATTAGACCATATGTTAGTCTCGAAATGACCTAGTTTGTTTCGAGTGGACGTTAAACCCCATCTCTCTCTCTCATTGTCGTTATAAAGTGTGTGTTTGTGTGTGTGCGTGTGTGTGGGGGGGGGGGTCTAGTCGTTTAACGCGAGCGCGTAAATCCACAAGGTCTGTCCCTCTTCTGCCAAAGACCCTACGCGCAGGCGAATTATTGAAATAACCTTGAACCATATGCTAGTCCCAAAATCACCTAGTTTGTGTGTCTCTTTCTCACTCACTTTGGGGCCTAATCGCAGCTCGCCGTCTCTTATGTTTGTGGTTGAGATTGGTCGTTCTTGGCCGGAATAAGCTCGCTGTTATTTTTATTTTCTAAGTTTTACTTAACCGATTTGCGTTGTTAGGAACTAAATAACATAATGTACCGTGCCAAACAGCGGCACCAGGGCTCATGGTATGATTTGCCTTTTTTATATGGGGTAGTCCATTTTCTTTTTTTTTTAGTTTATTGTGAATACATTGGTATCAATTCCATGGTATATAATTACTGTTTTAATCTTTGATATGGGTTTAACATCCACTCGACACAAACTAGGTCATTTCGGGACTAACATATGGTTTAATTTTATTTCAATAATTCGCTTGCGCGTGGGGGTCTTTAGCAGTGGGAAGAAACCGGGGGACCCGGAGAAAACCCACGAGGTTGGACAGGCGACCCTACTCCCTGTCACGTACAACCTGGGACTCGAAACCACGCCAGTTGATTATAGGCTTGCCATCTGAATAAATGTCTAAATAATAATTTATATAACATTTGAAGCCAGAAAAAAACAAACATGCAAATTAAGCTCTTACATAATGCATCTTTAATAGTGTATTAAATTATTTTTAAAAAATGTATTAGCGGTTGTGATGCAGGACGGAGGGGCTGACAAGGAAAGCTGTCTAGTCGTTCGGATGGGACGAAAAACCGAGGTCCCGTGTACACATTGGCGTGCACGTAAAAGATCCCTTGGCAGTTGGAATTCGATATAAGAGTAGGCCGTAGTGCCGCTGTCCGGGCAAAATTTCCCTCATAGCACACTGTATGGCGTATGCCCGTCTTCATTAGCCCAGGTTAGGAGCAGAACAGTAGGACGTTAAACTCCATTTCATTTCATTTCATTTCATTTCGTATTAGCGGTTATCTCCCTTGACACACTAAAGGGGGACAATTTACATACCGTTAAATTGGTGGAATCATTGGCAGGATTATAAAATAATTCCAAAGAATGATGATCACCATGGCCCTCCGGTTCTGGAATAGGTAGCTCAGCCATAGGAACGTGTCCATCATGGTCCTCCGTATCAACATCCTGTACCAAATCATTGTACAGCTGTTGAAACTCTTTTCTACTCAGTGTTGATGATGAGCTGGAAATTTAAAGACTCATTTCCTATTTATTTGTTCTTTTGATTATATAATACAGCTGGACATTAATGTTAATTGTTGTTGAGTGTCGGATTTAGAATCACCTAATGAAACCCTCCTTCCCCATAACTTTGCAATCTCCCACGCTCACAACTAACATCCTCGGTTTCCGCAGTGGTCTCATTTCCGTTCTACTCCACTAAACCATGAGTTTATCCACGAGGTATTCACGTATTCAAATTATCTACGCTTGATCGTAGCTTGATTCTACGATCCAATGAAAATAAAAATGGACAAAAATCTATGGAAATGAAATAAAATGGATTTAACGTGCTACTGTTCTGTTCCTATAATGGGCGAATGAAGACGGGCAGCGGCACTATGGCCTACTCTTATATCGAATTTAAACTGCCAAGGGAACTTTTACGTGTACGCCAATGTGTACACGGGACCTCGGTTTTTCGTCCCATTGGAACGACTAGACAGCTGTCCTTGTCAAGCCATCCGTCCTGCATCACTGACAAGGGGAAACCACGACGGAAAAACCCGGCGTACTTTCTCGGCCAAGACCAGGATCGAACCCGCGATCTCCAGGATAGCGAACCAGCGTCTTACCCACTAAGCCACTGTGACTCATATTAAAGAATAAATGAGGTTTAACGTCCGATGTGTTCTGCGCCAACCGGGATAATGAAGATTGGTTGCGAGAATAACGATTACGTACACAGCTTAAGAACTATACAATAGTAAGTACAGGAGGACCGCACTACACGCAAAACAAAATCTACATGATAAACCTGCGGACAAGACAGAATATATACATATACATACTCAAAATGAAAAAAAAAGGATTTACACTTAGTCGCATAACGTTGGGTATACGCTAATTATCTTGATATTATGTTTTCAATAAGAAAAAAAAAAAAAAAAAAAAAACAACGACAACAAAAAAAAAATCAAAAGAAACAACAATGCATACCTGTATTTTCGTATAAGCAGTTGTGTAAATTTTGAAGTTGTCTCCTCCTGATGCGACATGACAAATACAGCTAGAGATAGCAACAGTAGTATTCGTAGGTTATTCATGATGAACTAGAAGTCAAAACCTTGCTTGATAAACTGGTAAAATCTGATCTAAAATAAAAGGAAAGGACGACATATTATCAATCCGATTCAAATACAGATCTATATTTCGTTGTTTTTTTTTATACTTTCGATGGCCTACACTACACTGGTTGTAACGATAGGTCGCGTCAGGGGTCATACGATCGGCTTTTGACCTATGACGTCAGACTTTTGATTAACCAATCAGCATTGATGTTACTAGTGGATTACCCAGAATTCCGTGCAAACATGCTGAAAATGGTCGAAACTAATCAGTCTTTCAATAAAAATGTAAACTAGCTAAATTCACCTTTGTTCTTTGTGACCCCTAAGGTCAAACGGTCAAAATAATTTTACTCTAGAAAAGTTGGGTCTGGTTTTGTGCCCATTTGATGGACCACCCACCACCCCCACCCCAACCCCGCAACTAAGCCTCCGGTCTAAAAGAAGTGTAATTATTCAGCAAGGAATATGAAGTTTCACGATTGTCATATCTTTAATTGTATGGGGGAGTCGATGGCCGAATGGTTAGCACGTGCGCGCTGTATCATAAGGCCTGTCATTGAGTCAACTGGCGTGGTTTCGAATACCTAGTTGTACGTGGCAAGGAGTGGGTTATTTCCGGGTCCTCCGGTTTCCTCCCACTGCCAAAGACCCCTACGCGCAAGCGAATTATTGAAATAAAAAAGAAATTAAAAACCATATGTTAGTCCCGAAGTGACCTAGTTTGTGTCGAGTGGACATTAAACCCCATCTCTCTCTCTCTCTCTCTCTCTCTCTCTCTCACTCTCTCTCATTGTACTTACCTTTCAGCTATCCTATTTTTAATGGAAATATCTTCAAACAATAAACGAATGCACTAATAAACTACTGAACCCATGTGTAATAATATATGTAGGAGGGGCGTGGCTTGCTGTCAAACTAATAAACAAAGAACCAATTAGGAAGGTTGCGGATCGATATCATAAGATTGAGCATAACGTGTTATATAATCGTTTCAATTTGTTACATATTAAAGTGCTATTGCCTATTTTACATGAGCAATACTCCAAGTCTTGCTGTTATAGTGTATCGTTGTATATATTTTGTTATCATTTAATTTTAGTTAAAGTGGCAATTGGCCACTGTCCGAATTGATATTTTACTAATCTGTCAAGTCTTTTAACTGTTTGAGCTTAAAGTTAATGTAACGGCCATTATATGACGTAATTATAATCCTAAATAAATATATAGCCTATTGATTTTGTTTTATTTTCATACTCTTGTCGACATCTGGTTGTTGTTAAATAATGATGATGATGAGGATGGTGATGATGATGACAATGAAGATGATTTATTTATTTATTTGTAAAAATGTAAGATATAATACCTTTGAAATTTGTACATTTTATCTATGTTATTGAAATTTACAATTTACATGGAGATGAATTTATAGAAGCTATGGCTTGTTTTCAGATCCACAATATCAGTATTGTAAATAATCATGATTTAATAGTAATAAAATATTGTTTAAACCGACATCTTGTTTTTCTCTTTGGCAGTGGCTATTGTTACGACGAGTCATAAAAATAGTCCTCGGGCTATTGTTACGACGATGCTTTCACTGCCCTCCATCGGCGAAGTTAAAAACTGAATAGTCGCAAAAATAGTCCTAACCCTAACCCCAACCCTCCCCATCTCTTTATTGCTGCCTTTAGTTCTGAGAACGTTGAAAATACTGCTCCCTTTTCAAAGCTGGTGTTGGTGAGATTGGCAGCCATTTTGGAATTCGTTCTAAACTTGGCTCACACTCGTCGTAACAAATAGCCACTTTGTTTTTCTTTACCTAATACCTTACATGGCAAATACAAACTAACTATGCTTTACATTGATGCAGGAGCCACGGAGGCTAAGTGGGTAAGACGCTGGCTCGCTAGCCTGGAGGTCGGGTGTTCGATCCCTGCATTGGCCGAGAAAGTTCATCGGGATTTTCCGACGTGGTTTCCCCTTGTCAGTGATGCAGGATGGGGCGGGGGGCCTGACAAGGCCGAAAAAAACAGGGCCCCGTGTATATATTGACATGCACGTAAAAGATCCCCTGGCAGTTGGAATTCGATATAAGAGAAGGCCTGGTGGTGCTGCCCGGGCAAAAATTCCCTCATAGCACACTGTATGGCGTAGAACGTTAAACCCTATTTCTTTTAATTTCATTTCACATTGTTGTTTACTAACGTATCTGCAGTAGTCTCGAATACAAAATGTGGATTTGTCATTTGTACTTCATCTTTAGACAGAGAGAGGGAGAGAGAGAGAGAGAGAGATGGGGTTTAACGTCCACTCGACACAAACTAGGTCATTTCGGGACTAACATATGGTTTAATTTTATTTCAATAATTCGCTTGCGCATAGGGGTCTTTAGCAGTGGGAGGAAACCGGAGGACCCGGAGAAAACCCACGCGGTTGGACGGGCGACCCTACTCCTTGTCACGTACAACCGGGGATTCGAAACCAGACCAGTTGACTCAATGACAGGCCGTATGATGCAGCACGCACGTGCTAACCATTCGGACACCCAACCCCCCTATCTTTAGACAGAGCATGTTGAATACAGGCTAGTTAATTACGAGACTATATGCATAGATTTGTTTCATTGGTTCGTTTGAATGCGATTGACGAGGGTCGGGGTTGGCCGAATGGTTTAACGCGTGTACATAAGACCATAAGGTAAGGCATTGAGTGACGTTTGAACGCGATTGACGGGGGTCGGGGTGGCCGAATAGTTTAACGCGTGTTCATAAGACCATAAGGTAAGCCATTGAGTGACGTTGGAACGCGATTGAAGGGGGGCGGGGGGGGGGGCCGAATGGTAAGCCATTGAGTGACGTGGTCTCGATTCTCCGCTTGTGCATTACAAGGACTAGGGTCGCCTGTCACCCGTCCAAGCTCGTGTGTTTTCTCCGGGTCCTTCTGTTTTTCCATACAGCTAAAGACCTTTGAAATAAACTTTAACCATGTGCTTGCCCCGAAATAACCCAGTTGTGTTGGGTGAACGTTAACTTCCATGCCTAAAAATATATATTGATACTTAAAAAATATTTTTAAAGATATATTATGGGAGATTAGATAAAGAGCTGACAGTTCTCATTATAATAGTTAAAAACTAGAAATGGGGTTTAACGTCCACTCGACAAAAACTAGGTCATTTCGGGACTAATATATGGTTCAATTTTATTTTCATAATTCGCTTGCGCGTAGGGGTCTTTAGCAGTGGGAGGAAACCGGAGGACCCGGGGAAAACAACGAGGTTGGACAGGCGACCCTACTCCTTGTCGCGTACAACCGGGAAATCGAAACCACGCCAGTTGACTCAATGACAGACTTTATGATACAGCGCGCACGTGCTAACCATTCAGCCCCCCCCCCCCCCAATATAAAATAGAATTATGAAGTCCGTGGAAGATTATACACCACAAAAAATTGTTCCTCTTGGTCTGGAATATTGTGTATAGTCTGAAAGTCTACGTTTGCCTCTTGGTCTAGAGTATTATGTTTAACGTCCGCAGACAAGTCTTGTTTTAGAGCACGCGCAGGGTCTTTCCTGTGGGAGAAAACCGGAGTAAACCCACGAGGTCGAGAAGGCGCTCCTGTCTCCTAGGGATCGAAATCACGACTACATGACATAGGTGGCCGGACGGCGAGAGCCCGAAGCGCAACTCTCGTGTGTTTGGTCTGAAAATTGTGCCTTTAATTACTGCCTACTAATGTACACATACACTAGGGTGAGCCTTTGTACCCAATTCATTTTGACATTAACGTGTCATAACATTGTTACCCGAAGTTTAGTGTTGATATTGGCGGATTCATAATAATAACTCCTATGGCCTTAAAGTAGCTAAGTCTCAGCCAAATATCAGCCAAATTCTGCCACATTGACAACATCAATTATTTGTCAATTTAAATCAATATTGATGTTGTGATCTTACCGGGAAAATATGGGCTTCTGATATCCAAAATTAACATTTTACCATTGGTACACGAATCGTGTACCGTACTGCGTTTCAGCGCTATTTGTAACAAGAGACTCGCAGAACGAGGCTAAACAATCGGTGACGCGATATTCTAATTTGGAGAGCATGCGCAATAGATACTATCGGTGTAGACTGGAATAACCAGACGCTAGATATTGCCATTCGATTGAGACTTCTAGCGTATTTCGCCAAACATAACCGATTTGAAAATAAAGTAAAAACGGAAATGAATGAATGTAAATCAGTTTATATACATTCATATTACATTATTATTTGCGTAGCGACCCATTTGTGTCAATTTCTAGGTCCCAAAGACAGAGAGAGAGAAATGGGGTTTAAGGTCCGCTCGACACAAACTAGTTCATTTCGACACTCACAAGTGGATCAATTATATTTCAACAATTCTCTTGAGCGTAGCTGTCTTTAGCAGTTGGGGGAAACCAGAGGACCCAGAGAAAACCCACGAGGTTGGACATGCGACCCTACTCCTTGTCACGTACAACCAGGGAATCGAAACCACGCCAGTTGACTCAATGACAAACCTTATGATATAGGGCGCACATGCTAACCATTCGTCCACCCAACACTCCTTTAATGTCAAATACAAACCAACGTGATGTTTGTCAAATAAACAGGCCTCTACACTAACTTCATATAATGATAGAGGTCTGTGGTAGCTGTGCAAAAATTGGGCTAAATCTATTTGTTAAGGCCAGCTCAATTTTTGTCAAGGTCCCTGAGATGTAAACAATGTTAGGGCAAGTGATTTTTGGCGAGATTGCAGGTTAGGGTTAGAGTAAGCATTAGGGCTAGGTCCAGGGTTAGGGTTAGGGTTGGGATGACCGCTAGCCCTGTTTACAGAACAAGAATAAGTGTTTATTAAAGTGTCACACGGTGTACATTTACATATCATAATTCAGTTAAAAACTTAATTAAAACGAACACCGCCCGACCATAATGATCTATGGGACATTGAATAAAAGATCATATTATTAAATAGTGTCATACCGGGATCTCCTTTGAAACATGCCAAATATAAAATTACATATCATACTGGAGTTGTTATCACTAATAAAAAATACTAATAACTTTCTCTTTTAGGGACATTTTATAGAAATTTACCTCTATCTTATGCATTTCTCTAAACGGTCTTTAAAGAAGGTCGAGGTACATTTTGCATTCTATTAAAAAATGGGATTCTGTCTCGATTTCTGACCTATCACAAAAAATTGAGCTGGCTTTATCATTTAGCACTTACCGTAAAATTGGGTCTATAAACATCTTCGGTAAGAGATCCTAACTAGTGACTGTCATCAAGGTACAGATTCGTTATATTTAAGGAAAATCAGATAATAGGATTAAAGTAGATCTTGTAATTAGAACTTACATGACGATAGATGAAGAAGGCATAATGGATAATGGATAATGGATGAACAAGAACAATAGATGGGATTAAAATCGTTACCCAATGACAACTTGAAAAGTGATGACAGGTTAACGCCGTACTAGCCAGTTACTAGCCTTTATGAGCCGACGGTGTATTCCCACGAATGCGCAGTTATTGACCGTAACGGATTTCGACGACTTCTTGGGAATCCAGCTTCTTAGAGCTTAAAATGGATTAAAAATGTAACAATGGGGTTATAGTTTGTTATGATAAGAATTTATACTTTCATTATTCCTAATATGACTAATAAACTAACATTTTATTATGTTTGGCATAGGACTTTAAGAAATAAAAACAAATTAATTTAATTTCGCCAAATATAACACCTTGTCTAAATACTCGACTAAAGTCAATTCCTCTTCTTCGTGTCTTCACTTTAATTCCTGGAGCTGGCTTTGAATTTGGGCATATTTATGTCTCTTCCTTGGGGGACAGAGTGAACACTACTTGGATGATTTGATGATATTCATGATATTCATCATTACTTGCCAAGTGGTGGATAAAATTTAGAGTAAACATAAATTCATAAAATCTTTAACACCGTTAATTGAGCCCTAATAACAACATGCCTCCCTTCAAACGAAAGCCGACAAATCGATATCTGCGCCAACGTGGGAAGGATTAATTTTGGTCAGGCTCTGTAACGGCGCCGTCGTGGGAATACACCGAGCCGACATTGGTTAACGACGTTAATCCCATCTATTGTTTTTGTACGTTCCGGTATATTAAAGAATTGAAGAATCATTTGAAGGCTGTTTTATCTGAAGAAGGAATTTACACCTCTAAAAAATCAAATTAAGTGAATGGAAGCGGGGGGCTAGCCGTAACCGTCCTCTGCGCGGAGAAAACCCACGAGTTTGGACAGGTGATCATACTCCTTGTCCGGTACAACCGGGAAATCGAAACCACGCCAGTTGACTCAATGGTAGACCTTACGATACAACCCGCACGCGCTAACCATTTGAATCATACTAGTGAAAGTCATGAAAATGAAATGAAATGGGGTTTAACGTCCTATTGTTCTGCTCCAACTGGGCTAATGAAGACGGGCATACGCCATACAGTGTGCTATGAGAGAAATTATGCCCGGGCAGCGGCACTACGACCTGTGTACACGGGACCTCGGTTTTTCGTCCCATCCGAGTGACTAGATATCTGTCCTTGTCAGGCCCTCCGCCCTCCGTCCTGCATCACTGACAAGAGGGAGCCACGCCGGAAAATCTGAATGAAATTTCTCGGCCAATGCAGGGATCGAACACCCGACCTCCAGGCTAGCGAGCCAGCGTCTTACCCACATAGCCACAAGAAATCTCAATGTAGGCACATTGAAGGAAAGAACTTTTATAAATAACCATTTTCGTGAAATGTAGTAAAAAGCGAAGTAAAAATTAAATGACTTATGTCGTAATTAAAAATTTACTACTTACCGCGATACTGATGGCGGGCAGATTTTACCTTTGAAATAAAGGTGGTGTTCTGATATACAATCTGCGCCCATGATCACATAATGAAAACGATTTTAATTTATGTATGAATTGTTTAACGTCATTCTGTGGCTTATTTGATAAAACTTTATTAAATTTATGCCAAATCACGAAATTGTATCCCGACCTTAGCGAGGTACAGGTTTCAAAGTATGACCTATCTTCGCCATTCATATTATCACCATCTCCGTAACATAACCTGTCACTAAAAATTAAAAAGTCTGAATGTATCTTTGACACATATCTTGGACATTTCGTTCGCATTGTCACTAGTGAACATACTCAACAGCTTCTCAAGGCCAGGAGGACGAACGTTTCAGTGCCCCCCCCCCCCTGCCCGCCCCACCCCACTGCCGTACATACTGTAACTACTTTGTTGTTAAGGTTTTATTTCTTTATACGTTTAAAACTTTAACACTTTCACACCAACACTTTATCTAAATAAGTAAAGGATTTCATAAGGTATCAAATATGGCGACTTCCTCCAAACGTATCCCTGTATTGGTAGAGAAAGTTCATCGGGATTTTCCGACGCGGTTTCCCCTTGTCAGGTGTGCAGGACGGAGGGCCTGACAAGGACAGCTGTCTAGTCCTTCGGATGAAACGAAAACCCGAGGTCCTGTGTATACATTGGCATGCACGTAAAAGATCCTCCATAGCACACTGTATGCTCGTCTTCATCAGATCAGTATTGGAGCAGAATAGTAGGACGTTAAACCCCATTTCCTCCCACTGCTAAATACCCCTACGCGCAAGCGAATTATTGAAATTAAATTAAACCATAAGTTAGTCCCGAAATGACCTAGTTTGTGTCGAGTGGACGTTAAACCCAATTTCTCTCTCTCTCTGATTGAGGAGCGGGTTCAGGCGAGTTATTTGCCCCTGAATCTGATTATATCGTTCGCTTATATGAATGTAATAGACATTAAAGATACATTATGGGAGATTCGATAACGAGTTGGGTTGGCAGTCCTCACTATAATAATTTAAAAACTAGATAATGTAAAGGCAATTTGCTGAAAATTTCATTCAAACTGATCTACTATGAACCTAGAACTAAGCGATTGAAATTTCCGCCTAGCCTCGATCATCATTACTAAAGTCAGTACGATAAACAGCATAGTCTTGATTATCCAGTTAATCGTTAAATCGTTAAGGAAATTTATGCAGTAAATCGGCTCATAGTCCACTAACGATCGCAGGCTAGCGATGCCATCTAGAGTTGATTATGGTCTGGATAAGTTAATTAATGTCTAATTAATCATTTAGATAACATTTCAGGCCTAAAGAAAGACCTACAATAGGCAGATTTAGCTCTTGCATAATGTATGTTTAAACATAATACTTAGCTTCAGCGCATGTCCGTCTACATTAACCCAGATGGATCAGAAAAGTAGGACATGACATCCTATTTCGTTTCGTTTTATTTTTCAATTTCACTGCCAACGTCTTCAACGACCTACTAATATTTGGCCTGTATTGTAAATGTATTAATAGTATATTTCTCTGAACTCGGCGTGATTAGGAATAATGAAAGCCTTTTTAACATAAATAATTGGGATATCTACATTAAAGGGACTGAATCGCTAACTCAATATTTTCCATAACATTCGAAATTAAAAACACAAATTAGAATTTAATATTTGTCCATTTCAATCGATGTCGCTGTTGTTATCTTATGGGGGGCCTACTGTCCAATATTTAAGACGCTATGAACATTTTATAATCAGTACGGTAGCCTTTACATTATCTAGTTTTTAACTATGATAGTGAGAACTGCCAACTCTTTATCTAATCTCCCATAATGTATCCTTAAGTAAACGTTGCAAATACACCCCACGAAACTGAGTCAACCGTATCGGAAACGCGGCAAAGAAACTGCGAGTTGAAATCGTGAGTCAACTGTATCAACAAATTATTAGACTTTGTGCCCCCGCCCCACGAGGTCTTGTCCTGGTCCAGTCTAAACTGTACGGGCATCCATTAAACTTTAAGGAAACGTTTAAAAAAAACCTGAAACTGAGTCAACCGTATCAACAAATTAGACTTATCAGAGTTTGTAACACAATAAATATATTTATTATTTACTACTTACATAAACAATACGGAACAAATAAAAACTGATAATATACAATTAACAGATAATTTACAAGACACAGAAGTTGAAAGAACAGACAAATCACGAGATAACCTTGATTCCAGAGGTTGAAAAGTGTGTTGCGTATTGGCACCATACGGCTGATGAATAGCGCCATTTTTAATTTCCGACATGTTAGGGCTTCCGGTAAAACTTTGATTTAGATATTGCGATACGATTGTTGTGAGGGCTTTGCAAGATCCCATGGACATGCTGTTGTTTTTCTGAAGTAGATATTTGGCAATTTCAGCGGGAAACTGTGGAAAAGCTGGCGGCTTCGTGCAGTCACACATTGGTAGACTGGTGTTCATATTCTTAGTTGTCTCCCCTTCATCCAATTTGGAACTACCCTCGGAGTACGAGTCTGTAAAATAATAATACCAACTATTAAAAGATTATGTTAGGAATGCTGCTGAAATTATTGTTTTGGTCATCCATGTTTCGCACGACAAACGTAAAGTTGGGCATACGGGTTGCATAAAGACAACCGTAAAGTTAGGCCCAGGAGTACATTTATATATATATATATATATATATATACATAACTACAACATAAAAAGTGCCTTTACTCAGACCCAAATATGTCCGTTCCCAAACCGTTGCAGGGATCCCAAATGACTCAAACCATCGACTCAAACACACCAGTCTGGTCTAGTTAATGCTTCCACTTTCAAACGAATTCTTGTTGTTTAGCTGACGGTGCCCTAATCCTATAGAGTGACTATAGATAGGGTGACCCACCATAAATAAATATCTCCATATATCTCGACAATTTCGCCACAATATTTATATATATGCCAAGCCTCAAATCAGTTTCACACAATTATAGTCACTAAATAAACGATCATGTTGTACTTAATAAGCTATGACCATTAATCATCTATAAATAATAGACTGAAAACTGGTTCCATGTGTCGTCCATAACATCCAGACACTTTTGAGTAAAAGATAGGTTACGTGCCCTTGTTTTGAAATTAGTCTCGCTTAACCAGTCTATCGACCATTCTAGGGCTGATTGACAGGTCGGGATAATCAAGACTACTTTTTTACGAAACATAACAGAAAGCTAGAACAAGAAATTGAATTTAGAAATGAGCACGTTAGCTAGCTCAACAATTGTTTTAAGAAGCTTGTAAAAGTAAAATGAAACTACTGCTAGTATCATGTTCCTGTCTAACCCGAGTGTTTCTGAGATATTATTTGTACTAAACCAAAAGATGCCGCTCTTAACGGTACAGTTAATGATAAAGCGATTTAAAAAATGAAACGAACGTAATTTCTAAATCTGCTGTAATAACCAAGAAGCTTAATTTCACTGCTATTCAAAATCGTCAACAATAATTTTTTTACGGCTGTAATAGTTGATAGATTTGTAGAGAATTGCACGTGCCATGGCTATTTATAGTATCAAACTGTCAGAAAGTTGGCCTCGACACGGCGAATGTGCACGCTTCAGTGGTAGTCTCGAACTATCAGCGGTGGACTGTATTTCTGTAGGTGCGTGGGCCACCCTACTATAGACAGACATCAATGACAGCCTCTTGTGGAATCGGAGGCGTATACACTCATGCCCATCACCGACGCGCATGAGTGCAACTTGATGTAGCATTGTTTCATGTGTGGACAGTACACAGTACAAGTTACAAGGCTTAAATAGTGAAGTGACTAGGGAATAGATTCGTCTTTTTTCCCATCATAATGCCTCGCTCGCCTTGACAATTTTCGAGTCGCATGTTCAACTGGCTTCTTTGCTCGATTTTAAGGCTCTCTTTCAACGATTTCCGAACGTTTACTTAGACGAAAATATCAGCCAAATAGCTCTTGGAATGGCTACAGATACAAGGAAATGACGGATAATTTTCTTGGGGGACCCCCGCCCCCCAAAACCCCCCTCTCAGCGGCGAGCCCCGTCTCCTCGGTCAGTGCCGTCATTTTGCGCCCCCCCCCCCCCCCTGTTCAAAATTCCTAGATCCGCTCCTGGTAATTACACACTAAAAGGACACACACTAAACAGTAATTACCACGCTAAGCAGTAACTACATTGGTAGTCTGCTTTAACACAATACACTCTCTCCTTTATTATGACCTGTTTTTATTGAACAAACCTGACGTCATATAGAGCAGGTTATCCAGTCTTGACACATTTAGGTTTCCGGTTAATACTAGCTGTATTCATACTTTTCATAGGGTGGCTACAATCACTAAGAGAAATGGCGAAGTGGATTAGACGCTGGCTCGCTAGTCTGGAGGTCGGGTGTTCGATCCCTGCATTGGCCGAGAAAGTTCATCGGGGTTTTCCGACGGGGTTTCCTCTTGTCAGTGGTGCAGGGCGGAGGACCTGAGAAGGACAGTTGTCTAGTCGTTAGTATAGAACGAAAAACCGAGGCCGCATGTATACATTGGCATGCACGTAAAAGATCCCTTGGCGGATGGAATTCGATATAAGAGTAGATCATAGAGCCGCTGCCCGGGCAAAATTGTTCTCATAACACACTGTATGACGTATGCCCGTCTTCATTAGCCCAGTATAGGCTCAGAACAGTAAGTCGCCAAACCTCATTTCTTTTAATTCCGTTTGGAAAATTAAAATTTAATTCACACTCCTAGATTGGTTAATAATTTCTCCAGAAATAGGCTTCGATAATTATCTAGTCCTAAATCTTAATGGGGAATAAAATAGAGAGAGAAAGAGAGAGAGAGAGAGAGAGAGAGAGAGAGAGAGAAATGGGGGTTAACGTCCACTCGACACAAACTAGGTCATTTCGGGACTAACATATGGTTTAATTTTATTTCAATAATTCGCTTGCGCGTAGGGGTCTTTCGCAGTGGGAGGAAACCGGAGGACCCGGAGAAAACCCACGAGGTTGGACAGGCGACACTACTCCTTGTCACGTACAACCGGGGATTCGAAACCACGCCAGTTGACTCAATGACAGGCCTTATGATACAGCGCGCACGTGCTAACCATTCAGCCACCCAACCCCCCGAATAAAATAGAACTTAATCCATCAGCGGACTTGCTTTTCGGAAGTAGTAATACATTCACAAGCTAAAATCTCTATCTGTTTTACGAATAAAACTCTAGGTTAACACCCGAATGATATACATGTATATATATCCACTTTCTTGACTTCAGAAACTAAGAAAGGATTGTGAAAGAATTATCCTGCTCGAAATTAGGGGAAATAATTACTCGGCAAACCTCGGCAGACTCCGGTACGCTACATCTAGCCTCGACTGTATGACGGTAAGTGATATCTACCTACAATTGCGATGCGGCTACTAGTTTACTTTTTGCAATACTTTTAGAAAGAAGTTAGACTTTTCATTGCCAAGTTGTCCTTATTATAAGCTCCAGACTTTGGAAGCTTTGTATGATAAAACGTCGTTGGTAATCTGGGGACTTGAAAGTAGTTCTAATAGTGGACTTCGTCATACAGCCGAGGCTAGATGTAGGGTACCCGAATGGGAAAATGATAACTTCAATCAGTGCTAAAGCTTACCGACAGAAGTAATAAATCTAGGGAAATGCCTACAGGTCTTTGGACAAATACACCACAGATAACTCCATAGTGATAAATAATCCACTTTCTTCGCCTCTCAAAACAAATATATATTGACCCCCATAACAATCCATCTGATTAAAATACAGATCTATATTGTAGTGGGAGGTTGTGTCAGCGGTCATACGAGTGGATTTTAACCCTATGACGTCAGACATTTGTTTAACCAATCATCGTTGATGTTTCTAGTAGAATACCCACAGAACTCGCTGCAACCGACCGTTTCATTAGCTAATCCCTCACATCAGCAAGAACGTGGGTTATACAACAACTCTTCCTCATCCTAGTGTAGTAAAGACAAGTAAAGCGAAATTTTGAACTATAAAAACGAAACGAAATAGGATCTGTGTTTTAACCAGGGTGCATAACAACAGCACTATCAATTTCTTCCAATTTAATTTTAATATTTCCATGTATACAAATAAAAAAAAAACATGTTAGACAGTTCACTTCCATTAAAATCCTGAAACAAAGTGTCTCGGTGTTTGGAAGAAAAAAGGCAGGTCGTTTAATTCGCAGGTGCAACTATTTTTTTTTAAATCAAAGTTCCACAAATTCCAAATCGACAACTGCTCTAAACACATATTGAGCTTTGATCTTCTTTGGGGGTCGACAGAGGTAAGCGGTTGTAACACCCACAGCTGTGTCGTTCTTTTTGTCATTTAAAGATGCATCATGTAAGAGCTAAATCTGAATGGGCGTCCCCGCTGAAGGAATTCCCACCAGGCGTCGCTAGTAAAAACTCGGTTCCACGTGACCTTATCGATGATAAGAGACCCGTGTCGGGATTAAATTCAATATTAACGACCAAAACTAACGTTTATCAACACACCAGTTCGTAATGAATGAACAGGAAAACAATGCTGTAAGGTAAACAATGAGGTCACGTGGGAGCGCCTCAGCTATAAATTATGTCCCTTTACCTCTAGCAAGGACGCCCATTGAATCTGAATTTTGGCTTCAGGTGTTATATAAAGTATTATTTAGACATTTATTCACACACCAGGGCTATAATTAACTCCCTAGGTCATCGGATGACCGAGATTTGAATAGATTGAAACACGGTCGAAATTTAATAATTTAATTTCAAAATGGATAATTTAGACTTAGTCTCGATTGTTAAGTACCGTTGATAAGATATTAAACAATCTATATCAAAACTTAAAACACTGATAACTTTGCTCAGAATAAAGTAATCTGTCTGAAATTTTCAATATTTTCATTTCGCATTGTCTATGTTTGAACTAGTATACACAGAACGATCAGCTGTTGATATAAATCTTACATAATGTATCTTTAAACGTGTATAGCAATAACGATCAGCTCTTTATCTCAATCTTACATAATGTATCTTTAACCAACACGGTGAGCACTAAAGGATTCTGATATGATAAACCATTATTGTCCAACACCCTTCAGATTAGCACAAATACATACGATACGTTGCTCGCGTAACTCTCAACTCGGGGGATTCTTCTGTGTTTTGAGGTAATATAGGTCGCGGAAAACAAAAACAAAACTAATGCTAAAAGTTTCGTATTAATCAACTTTGCACTCGGGGTTGCTTTAAAGCGCGGCCTTTTCTTTTGCTTAGTCGTTTCTTATCGATCTGTTCGTGCTTTCTGTGATGATTGTCAGTATAGGAAGCAGTCTGAGCATTTTTATTAATGGATGATTCTCTTCCATGCTGATCAGCTAAAGCTCTAAGGATGGGAGCAAGAGCAGTTTCGTCTGTTAACTTGAGCGCTGTGAAAAGAAAAAGAGGGAAAGCTAAGTGCCCATGCGACCATGCTGTATAATAATAATAACAATAATAATAATGCTTCTACTAGAATTTTGTTTTGAAAATTCGGTACTAAATAGAACAGTACAACAGACATTTGTTAGCTTTAAATGAGAAGTGGTACCAGATGTTCTTGTGCTCTACATAAAAGTAAATCAGACAGTGCTTAGTTACGTGAACTGTTCAATTCAGTTGAGAAGTAGTGCCAGGTATTCTGGAAATAGTAAGTCGAGCAGGACACTACAAGTTTGAACCGGAAGTGCGATTACTATTCCATTGAGGAGTGGTATCAGGTGTTCTAGAAATAGTAAGCATATCCTTCGTCGAGCAGGACACTAAAAGCTAACTCAGTGCTTCCCAACCAGTGTGCCGCGAGATTTTCCTAAGTGTGCCGCGAAAGTTTAAACGGCACACCAAGAAAATGTGAAAAACCACGTGATCATAATTGAATATTCACTTGTGTCTACTGATAAGTTCATAGCTGTGTTTTTCTTTATTTAGTCCTATGACCAGTCCCTGTCTACGGCTGTATGCCGCCTGACTTGCCATGTTTTTATTTTGCAAAATTCAAATATTCTTCATATATATTTAGCCAGGTGTGCCCATATTTTTTCATGTGTTCCAAGGTGTGCCGTTGGCAAAAAAAGGCTGAGAACCACTGAGCTAACTAGAGCGACAGTTTGAACCGGAAGCAACTGGGTTTAAAATTACCCCGAGGCCATAGACACCCGCCCATAGTTGTAAATACAAATGTACAACGGGTAATTTAAATTTGTAGAAGCCCCCGCCATTTTCCAAAATGACATCGAATGGGTTTTAGCGTCCGACCCTTCTGTACCACCCGATATAATAAAGACGGGAATACGCCATGCAGTTTGCTTTTGGTGCGATTTTACCCGTTTCCGCAAACCTTTCCTTGAATTCACACCGCCAAGGCTTATTATACATGTACTCTAACGTGTAGATCGGGCCTCGTTTTTTCGTCCTATCGGACGACTAAACGCTGTTGCAAGCTACAGGCCCTGCAATACCGAGAGGGGAAAATCAGGCGGGAAAATCCAGCAGCCCAACGTTTTGTAATGCCTTATGGTAATAAACCGGCGACTACCGATTTGTAGGCTCACTACGTGTTCTAATAAATGTGATCACCAGTTGCTCCTTAAAATGCAGTGAAATTATTTTGATACTTAAAATATTGTCTCCTCTAAAAGGTATCTACGGTGAAGCACATGCTGTAAGATATACATTGTTAGGATGTATCTCGTGCAACGACTACACTGTAACAACTCAGGACACTTAATTAGATTTTAGATAAATAGACATATGCCTATTTTGAACAGTTGTATATGCATTAGCCTATGTCTACATAACACTACAGACTTTAAAATAACACAGAAATGAAATTGAAATGAAATGGGGTTTAACATCCTACTGTTCTGCCCCTAAACTGGGCTAATGAAGACGGGCATACGCCATACAGTGTGCTATGAGGGAAATTTTGCCCGGGCAGCGGCACTACGGCCTACTCTTATATCGAATTCCAACTGCCAAGGGATCTTTTAGTTTTTCGTACCATCCGAACGACTAGACAGCTGTCCTTGTCGGTCCCTCCGTCCTGCATCACTGACACGGGGAAACCACGCCGGAAAATAACACAGGCAGAAGGAGAAGGCAATGACATGGGGTTTAACGCCTTACATTTCTGCACCAATCCGACTAAAGAGGTTCGACGTACAACTTAAAGTTGGCCGGGAAATGAAATGAAATGAGATTTAACGTCCTATTGTTCTGCCCCGACTGGGCTAATGAAGACAGGAATACGTCCTCCGTCATGTTCCACCCACAAGGGAAAACCACGTCGCAAAATCCCGATGAACCTTCACGGTCAACACCCGACCTCCAGGGTAGCGAGCTAGCGTCTTCTCCACTTAGCCACCTCGACTTCACAGTTGGCCAGGACACCGTTATTTCTGCCAAGCTTGGTCGACTTGCAGCTGCCAAGAGTTCTTTTATGTGTGTGCCTACTCTGCATCGAATTCCAACTCTCAAACGTAGGTTTTGAGTCCCCTCTTATAGTATAGGCTGTAGTATTAGTTTAAACGATAAGCTAATGTACGTATATGAATACTATTCCATAGCAGAGCGTCAATATCCACCAAGCCTTATAATTACAACAAGAACAACTGCATGCTCCGTTAGTAAACGACTACACAAACTATATTTTTCTTTTTTAATGATGAATGATAATAAGACATACTGTGTGCCTAAATATACTCCGTTTTATCAGTTCGTTGCACGTGTACAGGATTAACCACCAAAGATAAATAACTTATCAGAAAGAGCGAGAGAGAGAGAGAGGGAGAGAGAGAGGGGGAGAGAGAGAGAGAGAGAGAGAGAGATTTTATGTGCATCAAAGATAAATAACTTATCAGAGAGAGAGAGAGATTAAAGTCCACTCGACACAAACTAGGTCATTTCGGGACTAACATATGGTTCAATTTTATTTCAATAATTCGCTTGCGCGTAGGGGTCTTTAGCGCAGCAGGAGAAAACCGGCGGACCCGGAGAAACACCATGGGGTTGGACAGGCGACCCTAATCCTTGTCACGTACAACCGGGGAATCGAAACCATGCCAGTTAACATGACAGACTTTATGATACAGCGCGCACGCGGTAACCATTCAGCCATCCAACCAACCAATGGGAAGATAAAGTTGGTTAGCAAGGTAGTTAGACTGGATAACCTGCTCTAATACGTCAGACTCGCTCAACGTCACTCCTTTTCTGACTTGCATATACACTCGGCAAACCTCGGCAGATTCCGGTACCCTACATCTAACCTCGGCTGTATGATAGTAATTGATATGTACCTACGCCCATACATTTGCGATGTGGCTACCGGTTTACTTTAACAGGAAAACGTGCCGCTGGATGATAATAATGATTGAAACTAATTTCTCTGCTTCTCTCTTACCTGATAATTTAGGAAATATTTCCTCTAATAAAACTACTCTAGCCTCTAATACTTCATAATCTTCTCTTGTTTGTTGGCTTTTATTTATTTTCTCTTCTAATTGTAAAATGTATTTTTCTAATGTCTGAAAGAAGTTAATAATTTGAATTGAGAGTTATGTCCCTTTAATACACACATACGATTGTGTGGTCCATTTTTACGCTGTTTAAGGCAAAGAGCCGTTGGGAAGTTCATCACGCCGACTAGGAATGCTAAATACAGGTCACAATTCTATGGAATACAATACTGAGCGACGTTTCGACTAGGCTTCTCTAGTTATTATCAATTCTATGTAATACAATTACTGCTTATTACTGAGCGACGTTTCAACTAGGCCTCTCTAATCATTATCAATTCTATGGAATACAAAACTGTCTATTACTGAACGACGTTTCAACTAGGCGTCTCTAGTCTTTATCTAGCAATGATAAAATATGAAAACTCATCTATTAAGGTTACATCCCCATAACTTTTGAGGTGTCTAATTCGGCACTTGGGAATATACGACCTACCTGGCAGCTGGGATTCGATGAAGACAATGCGCGAAAGCCGCAATCTGATTAAAACACAGATCCTATTTCGTTTCGTTTTTATAGTTCAAAATTTTGTTTACTTGACTTTACTACACTAGGATCTGGAAGAGTTGTTATCATTGACGTGTTCTGGATGATGTGAGGGATAAGTTAATGAAACGGTCTGTTGATGCACGGAACTGTGGGTTTGCCACTTGAAACGTTGATTAATCAATGGCTGACTTCATAGGGTCAAAAGCTGTTCGTTTGACCCCTGACGTGACCTTCCAGTACAACCGGTCAGATCTCCATGTAGTGTAAGCCATCAAAAGTATAAAAAAGGAAACGAAATAGAGATCTGTATTTTAATCAGATTGCGAAAGCCGGTGCCTGTCCAGACATAATCCGTCTTCATTACCCCTGGTTGGTGTAGATAGCAAAATAGGACGTTAATCCCCTTTTCATTTTGGTAACCTCGGGATAACACTTAAATGAAATCTATTGGAGTTTCACGTCCTATTGTTCTGCACTAAAATCGGGTTTGGTGTGTGTTTGGAGGGGGGGGGGGCATGCCCCATACAGTTAGACGAACTCCAATTACCAGAGTGTCTATTACAAGGCTATTACTTAAATATGCTAGTGATCCCCGTCGTAATTTACTCCGAAACGAGCCGGTTGGTGACTTGGTTGATTGCCCGTCAGTCCACCCACCGAGGGCCGGGCATCACACTCCCTAGGGGTGGCAGCACGCCCCCCCCCCCTTTGAAAATCCTGGATCCGCCCCTGATTACATGCACAGTACACGCGGAACCTTGGTTTTTCGTCTCATCGGAACAACTAGACATTAATTATTGCCAGGTCCGCTATATCAAGTATATGATGCATATTTGTCTACATTTACTAACCTTTAACCTTTCTTCAAGACTAATTAATCTACTTTCTCTCTCTGAAATAGACAACATAAAAAACTGCTTTAAAATTAGGCAAAATACAGTTGTCGATTTCATTGAAATATATAAAGCTAGTATTAAGAGAGAGAGAGAGAAATGGGGTTTAACGTCCACTCGACACAAACTGGGTCATTTCGGGACTAACATATTGTTTAATTTTATTTCAATAATTCAGTAGGAGGTAAACGGAAGACCCGGAGAAAACCCACGAGGTTGGACAGGCGACCCAATGACAGGCTGACTCAATGACAGGCTTTATGATACAGCACGCACGTGCTAACCATTCGGCCACCCAACCCCCCAGCTAGTATTAAGACGATCGTATCTTCTACTGTCGACACTGTAAGCCGCAAATAGACCTAAAATAGTATACAAAACGACCCACGATTAATATTTCCACTGTTTATGAGAAATATCTTTGATCCAGAAACACAAAACTTTGCACATAGTTTCTTATTGATGTATTTGATACATTAAAACAAAGGGCTATAGTTTAGTTAAAATAAAGCAAACAATTTTAGTTGAGTAAATTCTGAAGTCTGAGAATATTTTGTGAACTCGATGTAAATAAATGTTTAAATACAGTACCCAACATCGGTCCTAAACGGTAATTAATCGATCAATAAGTGACTCTTATCGGTTAGTGCTAAATGATAAGGCCAGCTGAATTTTTCGCCATCACGAGATGTAAACAGGGCTAGCGCTAATCCCAACCCTGGACCTAGCCCCATTACTTACTCTAACCCTAACCTATAAACTCGCCAACAATCACGTGCCCTAACCTTATCTACATCTGAGAGACCTTGACAAAAATTGAGCTGGGCTTAACAAATAGATTTAGCCGACTCTTACCTGTGTCTTGGTCATACTCGATTCTGCCGGGTGTTCCTGGTGACCCGCGACTTCCTGGTTCACCTTTCATTCCAGGTAACCCCATCGGACCGATCTGTCCTCTTGGACCTGGGATACCTGGTGGTCCTCGTTTTCGACCTGTTATAGCTAGAGGTGCCAGAGCCGCGGAGTCAGGTTCTCCTGCTGGACCTCTGGGACCTGGAACACCAGGGATGCCTGGCGGACCTCTCAATCCAGTGTCTCCTTTAGCACCCGGTTCCCCGTCCTTACAATTGCAATCTGTCGAGGTTATTGGTTGTGGAGTGTCTGTACGAGAAGGTGTTCTCATGTATGTGAGCTGAAACAGGGAGAATATCTTATACTTTCTTTTTTACGACATAATACATAGTTCACATTACATTCACGGTGTCTAAAGACTAACACAGTGGTTCTCAACCTTTTTTCGCCAACGGCACACCTCAGAACACATGAAAAATTAGCGACACACCTGGCTAAATATATATGAAAAATAATTTGAATTTTGCAAATTAAAAACATGGTAAGTCAGAGGGAATACAGCCGTAGACACAGACTAGTCATAGACACATAGAATGACTCAAACTAAATAAAGAAAAACACAGCTTTGAATAACATTGAATACTCAGTTGAAATCGTGTGGTTTTTCGCATTTTCTTAGTGTGCTGTTTAAAAATTCGGGGCACACTTAGTAAGATCTCGCGGCACACCTTGGTGGAGAATCACTGCTCTAACATTTCTTAGAATCCTTTAAAATTTCAAGACAATAATCATACAAAATATTGATTTATTATTGAAAGCAATAATGTATTTTTATAGTTCATTTAGTAGAACAAACAGAAACACAAAGAAACTAAAAGCAAAAAAAAAAAACGAAACACAAAAATAGCTAGAGGTATGAAAGGAGTCATAGAAAGGAATTCTAGAAAATAATACTAGAAAGGAATACTAGAAAGGAATCCTAGAAAGGAATACTAGAAAGGAATACTAGAAAGGAATACTAGAGGTATGAATGGAATCCTAGAAAGGAATACTAGAGGTATGAAATGAATCCTAGAAAGGAATACTAGAAAGGAATACTAGAGGTAGGAATGGAATCCTAGAAAGGAATACTATAGAGGAATCCTAGAAAGGAATCCTAGAAAGTAATACTAGAAAGGGATCATAGAAAAGAATACTAGAAAGGAATACCAGAAAGGAATACTGGACAGGAATCCAAGAAAGAAATACTAGAAAGGAATACCAGAAAGGAATCCTAGAAAGTAATATTAGAAAGGAATCCTAGATAGGAATACTAGAGGTATGCAGCATAATAATCATATTGAATAATCCCAAGTATCTTATATTTGTAAACGAAAGTATTTTCGTATGCTATCATTATCTTGGGCTAACTGCATCAAACTGGGTATGTTTGTTGTGTACACGGGACCTCGGTTTTTCGTATCATCCGAACGACTAGACAGCTGTCCTTGTCAGGCCGTTCGTCCTGCATCACTGACAAGGGGGTACCATGCCGGAAAATCTGGATGAACTTTCTCGGCCACTGCAGGGATCGAACACCCGACCTCCAGACTAGTGAGCCAGTGTCTTACCCACTCAGCCACGTGATCCACTCACAGAGATTAAAACATAAACTGGTTTCTTTAATCCCTTTGTTTCCATATGAAAATATTACGGGGGGGGGGGGCTGTAAGTACCTGTCGGCCAGCGGTCTAGAAATTTACAATCCGACTCTGACTAATAAGAACCCACGAGTTAGGCAGGCCAAACATATTCGGGCTCAAAATCAAGAGACTTGACTCGATTGAAAATTGACAGAAGATTGAGTCACCAAAAGCTTCACGTAAGGAACAATTCTAACTATTCAGTCACCACAACATAATGCCGAAGGGAAATCGAACCCAGTTAATGCTAGGTTCCCACAATCACGATTTTGTGCTGCGTTTGAAATCGTGGTTTTAGTCGTGTAGTAATCGTGGTGATCCTATCAGGTCTTATCATATATTGAGGCCAGTCGTAGCAATCGTGTTGATTGTATCAAAACGTAACCGGAAGTATCTACACGTACCAGATCGTGGACTCATTAGGGACAATCCTATTGTAACGCATCTTACAACAGTGGGAGAGAGAGAGAGAGAGAGAGAGAGAGAGAGAGAGAGGTGAGGTTTAACGTCCACTCGACACAAACTAGGTCATTTCGGGACTAACACATGGTTGATTTTTATTTCAATAATTCGCTTGCGCGTAGGGATCTTTAGCAGTGGGAGGAAACCGGAGTACCCGGAGAAAACCCACGAGGTTGGACAGCGCACAACAGTGGGAATTTGGCATTCAACAGTAAAATATAAAATTGAGTTAATCTCACCTTTCTGACGATGCTTTCAGCATTGGCTAATCTAGTTTTTATATCGCCTATAGTGGTACAGTTAAAACATTCTGAAATAAATTCCGTTCAGATTTACAGTTCTGCATTTTAAACGGGCATTATAGAAGATTAGATAAAGAGATGGCGGTTCTCGTTTAATAGTTAAAGACTAGGTAATGTAAAGGGAATATGCTCAAAATTTCAGTTCAATTGCTCCACTCTGAATCGAGATATTAGCGTTTGAATTTTAGGCCTAGCCTCGATCATCATTACTAAAGTCGGTACGATAAAAAACATAGTCTCGATTGTCCATTTTTGGATTAAATCATATCATTAATGAGCGTTGTGTAGCAAATCGGATTCAAATCCAGTGAAAATCACTGACAAGGGGGATACCGACATCGTAAAATTCCGATGAACTTTCTAGGCCAATGCAGGGATCGAACACGCGACCTCCGGGCTAGCGAGCCAGCGTCTTACCCACTTAGCCACCGTGACTCTAGTCTTGATGACGATGATAACATAATAATGATAACATATTATTACTCGGGAATTAGTGTTAATGTTTTTAGTCATGCAGGGGCTACGCGAAGGGTGCAATGGGGCCCTTTGCTAAATGGGCTTTGAGATTTTGCACTGACTTTGTTATAGATAACGTTGTTATTAGCCTTATAACTTTGTTAAATCAGCCGTCTTCATATGCTAGATGGGGAAAATAACGTAGGCTGTCCATTCATTCATTGTTAAATCAAAGAGAGCCTGCCCCCTGTAGGTCATTCGCCAATGCTTATGTGATAAACAAGACGATAATTTGGGTTTGAATAACAATATAAAACTTATCTTCTTTCAGAGGCATTTAGTAACTGGACAGAGCAATACACAAAAACACAAACTTATGGAAAAACAGCTACTTATTTATTTGGGCGACGTTTCGAAGAGTATTCTCTCAACGTTATCAAGCTAAATAAATTAAGTAGCTGTTTTTCCATAAGTATGTGTTTTTGTGTATATAAAACTATTTGATAGCAATTTGAACAACGAATGTTCTTCGAAGGCGTGGGCAGGATCACGGCGCCTAAAATTATAAACTCACTTAAAATGATTGTATTTCTTTCAAGGATATCATATTTGTTGATTTGTTTTGATGGGTGGCAATCTGTCTTTTTTCGACAAAAAACAAACAAAAACAAAACAAAACAAACAAAAAAACCCCAATAAACGGCGGACCACATCACCGCCCGCCTACTGATCATGATAGGTTGAGAAGCGCAGTAACTAAGATAAAATCCAAGTTTTAGTAATTTGATTGGATAATATTAGATTGATTTTAGTGCTTAGCCAATCAAAATTGAAGTATCTACTAAAATTTGGATTTTAACTTTAGTTAAGATTTCGAGAAACAGGGCCCAGGACATACCTTCATCACATTTTTCTCCTTGAAAACCAGGACAACATCGCCATCTTACTTCTTTCTGTTGACGATAAACTACTGTATAATACTTTCTAATCTGACCATGTGATGAACTTTAAAATAACACAAAACATTAAAGATACATCATGGGGAGATTCGATAACGAGTTGGCAGTTCTCGCTTTAATAATTAAAAACTAGATAATGTAAAGGCAATTTGCTGAAAATTTCAGTCAAATTGATCCATTCTAAACCGAGATTTTAGCAATTGAATTGTCCGCCTAGCCTCGATCATCAATACTAAAGTCGGTAGGATATAAAACATAGTCTCGATTATTCATTTTATCGTTAAATCGTGAAGGACAGTTATGCAGTTAATCGGCTCATAATCCACTAAATATCGCAGGCTAACGATGCCATCTAGAGTTGATTATGGTCTGGATAGGTTAATTAATGTTTAATTAATAATTTAGATAACATTTCAGGCCTAAAGAAACACCTGAAATAGGCAGATTTAGCTCTTGCATAATGCATGTTTAATCAATATGTCATGGATATATCCGAGAAGAATATGTAATATGCCATCGGTATAATTAGAAACGAATGGATACTGGCACGGGAACAAAACCCTACCCGGACATCCATTTCATAGCGGCATCCAATCAATGAGTGAAATTATAGCTGTTAATGTTGCAATTTCATATTTTTACGTTATATTTTTAAAATTTATTAAAATAAAGCCTTAAAATAGATGGCATCTATAAACAGTCCTACCTTGTTAAAGAATAATCCTATTAATCCTATAATTCACTATTGCCAGTTGAGAAATTGGCAAAAATATCATTTTCATCGACAAATTCAAACGTTTGAAGTTAGCTACTCCATGGTGGAGAATAGAAAACAAGGGAGGTAATTGGGAGGAAATTGTGTTATCATTTCCGGTGTAAATGAGTTTTAAGTGTGAGAATGACACCTATGATCGTATAATCGTGAGTTGACAACCGATTGAGCAAAAGACATAGAAATAATACTTTGAAATTGTAACTTTAACATTTATTTTGAATAAAAACTTTATTTCAACCGTTTTGACATATTATGTTCTCACATGTTTAAACATACATTATGCAAGAGCTAAATCTGCCTATTGCAGGTATTTCTTTAGGCTTGAAATGTTATCTAAATTATTAATTAGACATTAATTAACTTATCCAGACCATAATCAACCCTCGATGGCATTGCTAGGCTGTGATATTTATTGGATTAAGTTTCGATTTCCATTCATAATTAAATCATGAAATGGATAATTGAGACTATGTTTTTTATCCTACCGATTTCAGTAATGATGATCGAGGATAGGCCGAAATTCAATCGCTAAAATCTCGGTTCATAGTGGATCAATTTTGACTGAAATTTTCAGCAAATTCCCTCTACAGTATCTAGTTTTTAACTATTATAGTGAGTATACAGGTCACAATTCTATGGAATACAATTACTGCTTATTACTGAGCGACGTTTCGACTAGGCTTCTCTAGTCATTATATGGATAATTAGCTTTGACAATAATTATTGAAGAGATCTATTAACTCCTTGGATAGCCATTTAGTATTTTAGCATATTAACACAAGCTACAAGTTTATGGATACACAATTATTGGGTTTATTACTGTGGGAAGTTGCTAAAGACGAGAGAGTAATAAATTCAGTAATTGTGTATCCATAAACAAATATTAACTTCGTGACTTTCCCGGTTAATACCTAGTCAGCAATTAACATCATTCTGATTAAAACACAGATCCTATTTCGTTTCGTTTTTATAGTTCAAAATTTCATTTTACTTGTCTTTACTACACTAGGATCTGGAAGAGTTGTTATCATTGACGTGTTCTGAATGGTTTGAGGAATTAGCCAATGAAATGGTCTGTTACGGCGTGCTTTAGTCGTGTTTTGCACGGAACTAGTAACAATAATGCTGATTGGTTAATCAAATGTCTGAGGTCATAGGCTCACTTCATGTAGTGTAGGCCATTGAAAGTATAAAAAAAACGAAACGAAATATAGATCTGTATTTGAATCAGATTGAGTCATAATGTTCAACACAAAGACGTGAAGACGTTTTCTTCTCGTTGTTTGGGAGCTACGGTGACTAAGTGGGTAAGACGCTGGCTCGCTAACCTGGAGGTTGCGTGTTAGATTCCTGCATTGGCCGAGAATGTTTATCGGGATTTCCCGACGTGGCTTTCCCTTGTCATTTGTGCAGGACGGAGGGGCCTGACAAGGACAGTTGTCTAGTCGTTCGGATGGGATGAAAAACTGAGGTCCTATGTATACATTGGCCTGCACGTAAAAGATCCCTCGGCAGTTGGAATTCGATATAAGAGTAAGCCATACTTATGGCACACTGTATGGCGTACGTCCATCTTCAATAGCCCAGTGGGAGCAACACAGTAGGACGTTAAACATCATTCCATTTCTGTTTTCTTCTCGTTACAGGTGGAAATAGAACATAGAAAGTCTTATAAAATTGGTGGGTTTAATCGATTCTGAGGTTATTTTAATATCGTCCGAAAGAAACACGGCTGAAGTTCAATCTGATTAAAATACAGATCTATATTTCGTTTCGATTTTTTATATATAGCTTCGATGGCCTACACTACATGAAGATCTGACCGGTTGTAGTGAAATGTCGCGTCAAATGTCATACGAGCGACTTTTGACGCTATGAAGTCAGACAATTAATTAGTCAATCAGCGTTGATGTTTCTTGTGGTTTACCCACAGTTCCGTGCACCTCACGCCAAAAACTCGCCGTAACTGACCGTTTCATTGGCTAATCCCTTACATCATCCAGAACGAGGGTTATGTAAGAACTCTTTCAGATCCCAGTGTAGTAAACCTCCGTAGTAAAGACAAGTAAAACGAAATTTTGAACTATAAAAAACGAAACGAAATAGGATCTGTGTTTTAATCAGACTGGGTTCTACTTTTGCTTGGGGGTAACGCTCTTCGAACAAAAACCAAGGTTCCGCCAATTAAACATGAAACTTTGCATGCGTCTGTTTTGGACAGATGCGTATCGATTGTCCGTCTTCGATTCTTGATATGACGTCACAGTTCCAAGATGGCTACAGCGACGTCATACTTGTAGTTATTTATGTCCAGTACTTACCTTCTGTCTTGATGCCAATCCCATCTTGGCTGTCGACACGTCACCATCCGTGTCTGAACTTTTGGACACCATTTTCTGAAGAACAAGAAGAAAAAAGGTCACGTTCAAATTATTTATTGTATCTTAAATTCAGGGAGAAATTTTAACGTCTTATTGATCGAGCTTATTAGAGAGAGGGTGCGTAGGAGTCTTTAGCAGTGGAGTAAACCGGAGGAAACCCAAACGGTTGGACAGGCGACCCTACTCCTTGTCACGTACAACCGGGAAATCTAGTTGATTCAATGACAGACCTTATGATACAACGCAAACGCGCTAACCATTTGGCCATCCAACCACCCGATAGGAATTATGAAGACGGACATATGCAATGCAGCAATGGGGGCCTCTGCTACAATTTAGATTTTCAACTAGACATTGATTAGTTTGTATTTTCTTTGTTCACATATATATAATGGTAGTATATATTTTTTTTTTGGATATCCAATTTAAAAAAAGAAAAAAAAAATCCCAAAAGAAAAACTCTCATCTATTTCCATTTCCACCAACACGTCGCTGCACCCATAAATGAAAACATTTTTTTTCAGAAAAAAAATGAATACATAAAATCATCTATATAATTCTAAAACTATAACTAGTTTGTTGGTTATCACCCAATTCCATCAGGAGTCTGTGGCATCAATCACTCCAAACTTTATTTGTTTTTAAAGAAAAAAATGATACACAAAATCATCTGTTTGGGGATCTTAAGACAAGAGTTCAAGAGAATTATCCTGTTTTTTTATCATTAAAATATAGCAAAAAATCTAAAAACCTGATTCTATTTTCTAGCTTGATATAAAGCATGTGTGATGTGTGTAAATCTAGACATAATTTAATTAACAACACGTCACTCTGTTTACATGGTGGATTTATTATATTTATTTATTACAGAGAGAGAGCGAGAGAGAGTGGGGGGGGGGAGAGGGAGAGAAAGAGAAAGTTTAATGTCCACTCGACACGAACTAGGCCATTTCGGGACTAACATATGGTTTAATTTTATTTCAATAATTCGCTTGCGCGTGTCTTTAGCAGTGGGAGGAAACCGAAAGACCAGGAGAAAACCAACCAGGTTGGACAGGCGACCCTAGACCCCTTGTCACGTACAACCGGGGAATCGAAACCCCGCCAGTTCACCCAATGATAGACCTTATGATACAAAGCGCACATGCTACCCCCGCCCATCAATCAAAAAGTGGACCACAGTAACTAATTCTTAAAATAACCAAGAAAAAAAATATATTTCCTTAATTACATGGGGTAGTTTGATAACTGACAAGAATTCAGTATCCTGGATAGCTGACAAGAATGGTCAGTGCTAAATGATAAGGCCAGCTCTATTTTCCATCATAGATCACGAGACGTAAACAGGGCTAGCGCTAATCCCAACCCTAACCCTAACCCTGGACCTAGCCCCAAAGCTTACCCTAACCTACAATCTCGCCAACAATCACGTGCCCTAACCTTATTGACATCTCAGCGACCTTGACAAAAATAGATTTAACCGACATGAATCCAGTGTCCTTGATAACTCACGTTTTAAAATTGAACTTTGGTTTTGTTGGTATTAACCTCAGTGTGTTTGTATAGTTCTTATTCTTGATAAAACATTATTATAAACGGAACACCCATTCTATATGTTCCCGCCCTGATTATTTAAGCGTCTGCTTTAACATTATTGAGTAAAGAAAATGGAATTATTTTTCATGCACCTCGTTGTACTCATAAGCAAATTGAACTTACAAATGTCAGAGTATCAATGCTTCTATTGGATAAAAATTCGGTGCTAATATTACTTATTGCAGGTCTTTCTTTGGGCCTTAAATGTTTTAAATAGACATTTATTAACATGGCAAGACAATAATCAACCCTCGATTCCATTTGACGTCTTCAATTTTAAGTAAATTTGAACGGTTCGGCAATTTAATGATTTGATTTAAAAATGGAGAAGCGAGGCTAAGACTCGAATGACTAGTACGATAAATGCACACATCTTGTCAAAACCACAACCATTGATAACTTCGTTCAAAATAAAGTAATTTGAATGAAATGTTCAATATATTAATTTTGCATTATCTATTTTTGAAATATTATAGCAAGAATGGCTAATTCCACTTTAACAGTCTACATCTATGTCTTGTAACACCGTAGGGGGGGGGGATTGTTAGCGCGTGTGCGTTGTATCATAAGGTCTGTCACAGAGTCAACTGACGTGGTTTCGATTCCGTGGTTGTACGTGTCAAGGAGTGGGGTCGCCATTCCAACCTTGTGAGTTTTCACCGGATCCTCCGTGTCCTCCGGTTTCCTCCCACTGCTAAAGAAACCTACATGCAAGCGAATTATTGAAATAAAATTGAACCATATGTGTTAGTTCCGAAATGACCTAGTTTGTGTCGAATGGACGTTACCCCCCTCTCTCTCTCTCTCTCTCTCTCTCTCTCTCTGTGTAATGCCGTAATTTATCGATATAATGCAAACTTGGTGGTTTTGGGGGCACTTAAAGCATGACGCCTTAAAGATACATTATGGGAGATTACATAAAGAGCTGGTATTTCTCACTATAATAGTTAAAAACTAGATAATGTAAAGGGAATTTGCTGAAAATTTCAGTAAAATTGATCCACCCTGAACCGAGTATTTAGCGATTTAATATTGGGCCTAGCCTCGATCATCATGCATAATGTATTTAAATAATTTATATAACATTCAAGGCCTAAAGAAAGACCTGCAACAGGCAGATTTACCTCTTGCATAATGTATGTTTAAGCCTTGAACAAACGTCATTTATGTTTTCCCTACTGACGATCGTGGGGGGGGGGGGAATGTTCGAATGGGTAGCACGTGCGCGCTGTATCGTAACGTCTGTCATTGAGTCAACTAGCGTGGTTTCGAATCTCCGGTTGTACGTGGCAAGGAGTGGGGTCGCCTGTCCAACCTCGTGGGTTTTGTCCGGGTCCTCCGGTTTCCTCCCACTGCTAAAAAAAACCTACGCGCAAGCGAATTATTGAAATAAAATTGAACCATGTGTTAGTCCAGAAATGACCTAGTTTGTGTCGAGTGGACGTTAAACCCAACCTCTCTCTCTTTCTCTCCGTACTAAAGATCGGTATGAAAATTTGTTTCTTTATTTCAACAAAGAGGAGGAAAACTCCACGACTGTCCTTCTATGCACAAACATGGTACATTATAGCGCAGGTCAAGACAGTATGGCAGAGAACGGAACTCAAATCATTTTATTAATGATATACCGGAAGATAAATAAATGCCAAACGAATATGACACGCAGTCGCAGGAAGAACAACATGTAGAATTACAGTGTATGTGCGTGGGTGAATAGATATTTGGGTAGTTTATTCATCTTCAACCAATGGTTTAAATTTACCTTACGACACCCGCAAACTGGTCTCATTCACCCCACTTGTGACCATTCATACTGACCACCCTCGTTCAGCGGTCAACAGGGGTGTGACCTTTCAGTCCCTTAAATTGAACTTTGACCTCATAGTGTCACCTGTTAATCCCTAATAAGGGTCCTCTTACCACTTAGATAGAGTATCAGTAGTTAAAAACCCTTTTGTATATAAAACCCATGAATGAGACACTACCGAAACCATTCTTCGTTTTTTGTTATTTTTCAAACCTTTATTTACTAGTTTTGGTCATGCTCCGCCATTTACAAGCCAGCTGCGACTGTATCTATTTTTACTCTTTTTTTTTAAATTGCAAAGTAAACGATCAAAATGGCGTTTAATCACGTCCTGGGCTAACAAACGTGCATGAGCTTTTATAGTCTATGTTTTGTGTCAAGTTTATCATTAATAGCCCTTTTATCTGGTTATATTTATACGAACCAATTCAATATGAATATGAAATGGGGTTTAACGTCCCGATTCGCTGCACCTGCTGGATTAATGAAGACAGAATACGCCATATAATTTTCTATTTTTCTCGAGAACCATTCAGCAACCCTCGGCTGATTTGTGATCTTCATGTCATGCTATTGCTCGCCTGTACGACGTAGCTTTATATGCGCCTGCGCTTTCCGTCTGACACTGTCGTACGGGCGTAGGTTTACTGGTTAGGCCAACCTCGTGGGTTTTCTCCGGGTTTTCCGGTTTACTCCCACTGCTAAAGACCCCTACGCGCAAGCGAATATTTGAAATAAAATTAAACCATATGTTAGTCCCGAAATGACCTAGTTTGTGTCGAGTGGACGTTGAACCCCATTTCTCTCTCTCTCTCTCTCTTACTGGTTAGGAGAGGAGGGGATGTAACGTCCACTCTGCTCAAACTAGGTCATTTCGGGACTAACATATGGTTTAATTTTATTTCAATAATTCGCTTGCGCGTAGGGGTCTTTAGCAGTGGGAGGAAACCGGAGGACCCTGAGAAAACCCACGAGGTTGGACAGGCGACCCTACTCCTTGTCACGTACAACCAGGGAATCGAAACCACGCCGGTTGACTCAATGACAGACCTTATGATACAACGCGCTAACCATTCGGCAGTCTAACCCCACTACCGTTTAGGAAAGCTTGACGTTTAATAAAATATAGTTATGAAAAAGGCGTCGTTATGAGGTTTTGCCTTGTATAGTCAAAGACATAGTTAAATAGGCTACAATGCGTTTGAAAGGTATGCAACCGGGGCAAAATAAAGGATATAAATAGGTAGGCCGTCTGTTATCAACAAAATGCCGAAGACGAAATGAAAAGAAATGAGGTTTAACGTCCTACTGTTCTGCTCCGACTGGGCTAAGGAAGACGAGCATGCCCAGACAGCGGCGCTACGGCCTACTCTCATATCGAATCGAACTGCCAAGGGGCCTTATACAAGGCCTTTTACTGTAGAATGTAAGTGAACCGGGACAGTTTGTTGGTTCGCAATACAAATTTACAAAATTTAGAAATTATTTTGCAAAACTAGAAATTATTTTGCAAAATTAGAAATTATTTTGCAAAATTAGAAATTATTTTGCAAAATTAGAAATTATTTTGTAAAATTAGAAATCATTTTACAAAATTAAAATTACAAAATTA